AGCGGGGATACAGCAGAGCATGCTGAGCGTGCTTGAAGAGCGAGGATTTGTCAAGGATGTTGCTGGGTGAGCATGGAAAGGAGAAGGCAGCCATGGTAGGACTATACTGAGAATTTACAGCGGACGCAAGGAACTCAATTGGCTGCTCACTGAGAAGCGCATTGGTGTATATGTTGGCGTAGACCCAACAGCACCCTCTCTGCATGTCGGCCATCTTCTCCCCCTGATGGCACTGTACTGGATGTACCTGCATGGCCACTACACCGTGAGCTTGGTGAGCTCCCCACGATCCGTCACGTACAATGGCTGTTAATCATGGTTAGTTGGGCGGAGGCACTGTACAGATTGGAGATCCTTCTGGCAGAACGACAGCACGCTCGCGCCAGGCGGAGAATGTGCAATCCATGAATGTGGAGAGCATACAGCGACAGCTTGAGAAGCTATGGACCAATGTCAAGTGCTTGGGTATCAAGCACCAGTTCCCGCAGATGACGAGCCGGAAGCAAGATATTCTCAACAACCGCAGGTGGCTCGAGAAACTCAGCGCAGTGGAGTTGATGAGGGACTTGGGCTCGGGCATGCGTCTGGGCGCTATGCTCAGTCGCGATTCGTAAGTCATACTCGATTGTCGTACAGGCTCGCTTTCTCACACATGCACCAGAGTCAAGCTTCGAATGGAAAGCGGCGAAGGCATGGCTATATCTGAGTTCAGCTACCCCCTCTTCCAAGCCTACGACTGGTGGAGCATGTATAAGAACCAGGGTGTTCAACTTCAAATTGGTGGCTCGGATCAATATGGCAACATTATTGCGGGCATGAACGCTGTTAGTCATATGCGTAAGATATATGGCATGGATGACGGAGCGGCAGAAGAGGACCCACGCGTAGCAACGTATGGACTTACCACGCCGTTACTTACAACCGCTTCTGGCGAGAAGTTTGGCAAGAGTGCTGGCAATGCTGTCTGGCTGGACGGTCAGATGCTGAACTCATTTGACCTCTACCAGGTACTTACCTCTGTTACTTTGACACCAACTGGATTCCTTAACTAACTCGCATCACAGTACTTTATGCGCACCGCCGATGCGGATGTAGAGCGCTACCTCAAACTCTTCACCTTCCTCCCCCTCGACTCCATCAAGCTGCTCATGTCCCAGCAATCCCAAGACCCCTCCAAGCGCCTAGCCCAGCACATCCTCGCCCGCGAAATCGTCGAGCTAGCCCACGGCGCCGCCGCAGCAAAGAAAGCCGAAGCAGCCCATAAAGACGCCTTCAGCCAAGGCACAAACACCTTTTCCCTCCTCTCCCTCCGAACCGCCATTTCCAACAGCAAGGATACCGATGCCTCATCATTGTCCCCATCGCCGACCGCCGAACCCCCACTCAGCGCAAAAGAACAAGAGCTCCTAGCCTACAAGCGCGCCTATGCTTCCACCAGCTCGCCCGCCCAGTCACCCACCGGCGCAACACCTCCGCCCCCCTCGGACAATAAAATCATCACCCTACCCCTGTCCCTGCTCGCCCCAGGATCCTTCCCTCACATCCTCCACGCCGCCGGCCTCGCCACCTCGCGCTCAGAAGCCAGTCGGCTCATTGCCAAAAAAGGCGCCTACGTCATCGTCCCCAACTCGGGTTCCCTGGATAATCCCACCGCCCTCAGATGGGCCACTATCGAACCCGGTAAAGAGTTTGACCCGAATCATTACCTGGTCGACTGGGAGGCACTCGTGCTCAGGGCGGGCAAGGCCAAGATTCAGATTTGTAGGGTTGTGCGTGATGAGGAGTTGAGTCCGTCGGTGGGGGAGCAAAAGGCATGAATGAGTCTAAATTTTAAACTATATACTTGACGCCATCTTCGTGTTTTGTTTTACGGGAAACGCATCCAAGGAATGAAGTGAGGTGAATAAGGGTAGAAGAATAATGCACCAATTCTTCCCTCTGTGCCTTTTTTCTGATCTTATTGGATTGGAATTTGATTTGCCACTCTTACTCCTCGTTTCGCCCAGTAAATTAATGCCAAGGTACCTTTGTTTATTTGAATAATGTATCGTTGGTCTTGTGTTATGGCAAGGATGATAATGATTACACAAGTTACCAATTACCTCTCTTTCACGACGTTTACCTATCCCAGCATCTGTGTACACCCCACCCCCCTCTCCCCCCAAGGTCGCATCTTTGAGATGGGGATGCCATCCGCTTGTCAGACCGAGGGTTGCGGATGTAGCTGTCGAGAGCGTATTCCGCGGCTTGAATGGGGAGAGTGACTTGGGTGCTGGAATCGTGTTCCGATGCCGATTTTACAGGGGGAGACCTGGACACCGTTGCCGCTACTGCCACGTTGTGGGTGGCGAGAAGGAATGTTATTGGGAGGAGTGGCGTTTTCCTTGGAGGTCGCGTAGGGGGATTTGGTGGGAGATGCAGCAGTGGTGTGTAAGTTGCGGGAAGAATGGTAGCGCGAGGGACCGCGCTCGATGCAGACGTTGGGGCTTAGAGGGCTGAGCTGGAGGTCGGGATCAGGGGATGAGGCATGGTGGTTAGTAGCACGAGGATACGAGCGGATTGGTGTTGCGGGGCGGATGGTAGACTCTGTGTGAGTATGGAATACATCGCGTATGGTGACGGTGTCTGCTAAAGGTGCTTCTATCGTTTCTTGACCGCTTCTCGAAGCCATTTCACTGAAATTCGAGGACGAGCGCTGACAGAATTGCGGCCTGGGATACGTATTTGGTTGGGGAAGCTTGGCATAAGGTTCATGGCCGTTTGGCGTTGAAACACCAGTGAGCCACTTGTCGATGCGGTCATCAAGTACAGAGGCACGGATAGACTTTGGGTTGGGTTTACTACGCGAGCCTGGAATCAGGTAGCCGGAATCGTCGGACCAGGACTCAGAACTCTGTTGCGACGTTTTTGCGAAACCTGGCGGAGGGCGTGGTAATAACGTCGTCGATATGCATAGAGACTCTAGTCGGCGAACGGGGGAGGTGGCTTGCTGCGAATGGCAGTGCACGTGGCCACGACGAGCTAGCGATGACGATGCTTTTGCTGAAATGTTTGGCAACTGCGGATATGGCAAATGTGCCGGCTGCAATGTTTGCTGTTCGTGGCTAGCATCTTCAAAAAGCTGCCTCATACGTGCGGCGTGGCCAGCACGCGCGGGAGACTGAAGCAGTCGTGAGCTGTGGTGGGAGCGACGAATGCGGACATTGGCTAACCCCAAGGGCGAGACGGGCCTAGGGCGTGACTCTGCTGGCTTGAGAGGTGGTGTATTGGGAAGGGCATTTGGGTAATTTGCGGAGTCGTGGTGCGAGCACGGATGTGCATATGCGCGATTCGGTGAAGCAGCAGCTGCATCGAGAGAGGATTCCGCGCTATCGTTTCGCAAGGGCCGAGTTCTGAAGCGGTCGCCGGGTGTTACAGGTGTGCTGATGTTATCAATGTCGGTGTCGGTGAGACCGACTGCGTCTGCTACTGCAATTGCCTGTGGTAAAGTTAAAGAGGCTGGCAGAGCATGTGAGGCTGGTGGGTAGAGGTTCTATGACGAACTCGGGACGATGAGGCCATGGTGGATGATGGACTAGTAGTCAGTAGCAGCGCTCGTGGGATTTGTTTTTTTCCTGTCAACGGCAAACGTCTCGTGGGGGTTCGGTTACATGAGAGATGACTCGGGCTCGACATGAGCCGTGGGACGCGGCATGATGGGTGATCAAGGGCGCTGCATGGTGCTACCGCCCGTCGTGCCTGCTTACAGGACACAGTAGCCAGGCCGGTGGTTGTTGTTGCTAATATTGTTGTTGCAACTACTGCTACCGGTACTGTGGGACAGGCGCGTGCATGGCATTCTTCACAATGCGGCACCCGCGAGCGGTGGGCCGTGATGAATTGATCGCCGTGACGCTGCTGGGGGTTGATGGTGATAGTGATGGAGAACGTGGTACTAGGGCACACGGTGCAAGTACTTAGCCACGGCAGAGACGGGCGTGGCTGTTTGTTTTGAGCGACGCCGGAATCAATAGCGTGACCATTTCTTTTGTCTTGTCTTGGTGTTTGCTTTGCGTTGCCGCGTACTGGAGTAAGTAATGGTAGATGGGGACAATTTCTTTGCCGTGTCACGTGCACCCGCCTGCATGTCACTAAGGCGAGCCAGAACGGGCGGGGACTCTAAGCACGGTGCATTCGATACTTTACGTGCCATATGCCATGTAGTATGCCGTGGACCTCGCATTGATTGCAGCCTGCAGACAATATGACAACATGCTCAGTCTTTCTCTTGGCTGCTCCCTCGATACACTGGCTCCTTGAATTGTCCGGCCTGTCAATCAACGTGTGCGCCGAGCACGCCACCGCTTGCTAGCGACCTAGTATCAACGCAGCGTTCACACGATCGGAGGGCTTGCAGTAAGGCTTGGTGACACCTGCAGTGGGCGCATCGGCTGGCACCAAAACAGCGCCATCCGAGGCGACAGAGCCCAAAAGGGCCGTCTTGGCTGAAGACGATTGTCGAGGCCGATTCTTGGGCTTGGTTGGCTGGAGGGTTAGACAATGCTACTAGTGGACGCGCCATTGCGGCAGTTGTCTATACTATACGCGTATACACTACGCTGCAGGTACAGGGTCCCCAACCTCCATCACCACACCACCACCACTACCGCCACCATCATAACAACAACAAGAAGAAGAAGAAGAAGAAGAAGAAGAAGACACAACAGCAAAGGGCCTAAAATACGGCCACGGCTCCGTGCCAGCCTCGTGGGGCCAGGACTACTACACAACTAAAAGCTTAGCGCCATCTCGCGGCTTACTTCCGCGGGCTGTCAGGGCCTGCTATCATGATTATTACTTTTATTATTATCTCTGGCCCATCGTCATCTCACCTTCAATGGCCCATCCTTGGGGACCCTCGCCACCTCATTCCCTAGACGGGAGGGTGTGCGCTCGTGCCTGTCGCACCATGCTGCACCCCGTCGCCAGTGACGACTCTGAGACCCCTGAACCGACGGCGGATGCAGTGGCGTCTTCGCTTCCTGCACCACACTTCTTCTAGTCAGTGCGCCCAAACTCTGAACCATGCCAACCTTGCCTGTCCCACCCTCAGCCCTGGCTGCTTTCCCACCCCTTCCGCTGCCAAAATCTCTCTACTCGCGAGACGCACCGTCGCTGCCTCGACTACCTCGCCTTGTCCCTTCTTATCCACCCTCACTTTTTTTCAATTCACCCCCCGGGCCTCCCCTCTCCGTTCATTTCCGCGAGCTCGACGCTCATTGAACTACCCGGCTCCCAGCCATCTCCCTGTGAACCACATTGACTTTACCTTTTTTTTTCCTCTTTTTCTTTTTTTGCCCTTTCGTTCGTGCCGTTGCGAAGCTTAGCCTCCGCATTTACCACCTGTACATACAACCTATATGCATGCTTCTTATATTAGCCTAACGGCCTGCCCACCACCATCACCACTTTTCCGCGCCCACCCCATGACCAGTTACCAAGAACATCATCTTCGCATCTCCATTGCCTAGACTGCGGACTGCGCTCGTCCGACCTCCTCTCACGGTACGTACATGGATTTTTCCCTCTTGAAACCCGGTTGGGATCAGCGCCACGCGCCTGCAACGGACAACGTCACATCGTCTTGTGCCTGCCTGCCTGGGCTTCCGCCGTGTTCGTATTAGGCTTGCGGAGCCTGGAATGCATGGACTCGCTGTTCATAGCAGCCCTGCTGTACTCTGCATTATCGTCGATTTTCTTGTTTGCGCCGCCCTGGCAGGCCCTGCTTGAGTCTCATTTCTCATGCGAGCACCCTCTTCTGACTTGCATTCCTCTAGGCCTGTCGATGTCTGATACAGGGCATTCTTCCATCGTGCCAATCCCAAAGTCTTTGTCTCACCAAGCCTTCTGGTAACCCGCTATCTGCTGGGCAAGGATTCGCGACTTTCCACTGTCTCGAATCGTTCGTTCTCGTTCCCAGCTGTCACCCTCATCAACCATCGTACCGGGCTATTTCGCAAACTTGCCTGGCCCAGTATCCAAACAGCAAGTATTCTGACTGACCACTGTGCATCTTACATGTTCGCACTGGCCATTGGCCGTCCTGTCGCAGTTGCATATGTCTCAGTGGTCGCGCACCCATACCTGTAATCAACTCCCTTCGCAACTCGACGGCCCGTCTCGACTACCGTCATCGTCTTTACTTACCTTTACTCATCTCCATCTCAACTTGGGAGCTTCGCGTTGCGCATCGTCGATCCACAGCAGGCCAGTGTCGACTGACACACCCGCCGTCAGCATTCCCACGTTCAATTCATGAGTTACGACCCGAGGTTGGGCGCCGGGGCATACCGTGCGACGGACCCAGAAAGAGATGGAGATTCGAAGCCCGGCTCAGTACGGGCAGCTCGGGAGAGAATGCAGGCCGAGCAAAAGAGGACACAGCTCCCAGACACTTCAAAGATCATCGGTCTCCCCCGCCGACCCAACCAACTCGTCTCGCAATATTCTCAGGGGAAGGCTGGGCCATCGCCGATAAGGGTTGTGCCAGACACCAGAAATGAGATCGAGTCGAGCTCTCCGTCACCACAATGGCCCCTCCCTAGCAGCAGAACCGAGAGGGTAGATCCCCCTCCTGACATTCCGCCACGTTCGCCCAAAAGGATCCGGGCACCACGACAAGACCCTCGCCCCCTGTCCGAAGACTTTCCAATTCAGCAATTATCACCAGACACGGCCTCTCCGATGTCCATAGGCTTCTCACAACGTAACGACAACCTCTCACCGGGCTCTTTTCAGTCTTCATCACGTCCAATCACCACGTCATCTATCGCGTCCGATTCCTCGATTGGATCCATACCCGATTTCCCCGTCCCCCAACCGCCCATGCCAAACATACAACAAACTCGACGATTTCCAAGTATAGGCCCGCCACCCTCTGCGCGAAGAGGACCTTCGTCATACTACACACAAATGTCTTACGTGTCACCCATTGTCGAGGAGTCAGAGTCCCACTCTACAGCAATCCAGTCGCAGCGAGGTTCTTTTGCATCGAGTAATGTATTTCCAAGCAACGCAGATGCCTTCTACCCAGATGACGACCCCTTTTCCGACGAAGAAGGAACAATCGATAGCAATATGGATACCCTTTCCGCCAGCGAGCATGACGACCAAAGGGGCCTTGTTCAGCCGTCGCCAGGTCTTGTGCGACAAGCCAGTCTGGGTAGGCGAACCAAGCCATCGCTCATGACCATCAGATCTGTGGAACCTTCCGGTGACAAGAAGAATGGCCTAAATAAGCCAAGGACGGATGCTTCCGGAATCGCTGCAATGGGACTGGGATCAGCAGCGTTTTCATCAAGAGATAGTTCCCCTGGAAGGGCGAGGTCGCCTTTGAGCAGGTCGACTTCGTCGGAATCCACAAGCACACTACAAACATTCAGAATGAAGTCCGCAGCTGGAGGAACCGCGTCGCCGCTTCAACAAGAACTACGCCCAATCGCACTGGGGGACCGCGCTGCCACGCGACGGCCTCCAAGACTCGACATGGATGCCGTTCGTGACGCTGAGGCACGTGGTAGTCTAACAAGTTTGCCGGATTTGATTCGAAGAGCGACACGACTCGCGTCTAATCTCGACCGTGGACGTACAGCTAGTCGACTGGGTATGGACTTTTGGGAAAGTGGCGGACCTGAAAAGAACAATGGGCGCCAGTCAGGTCTGTCTGAAATGCTTGCGGCATTTCCTCCACCTGGCCAGGAAACCCCAGTTCGTTCAGGTTGGGCTACTCCAAACGCCAGCAATGGTGGCAACTCTGATTGGCCTTCGGTCAGAAACTCAGACCGCGGCTTCGTAAACAATGATACTAAGAACGAGAAACCGGAGAAGCGCCGGAGATGCTGTGGCATGCCACTATGGACATTTATCACACTTCTGATTGTTTTGCTTTTCATCATCGCTGCAGCAGTCGTCATCCCGGTTGTCTTGGTCGTCATTCCCAACCAGAACAGGGCGGCTAGTACCAGCGCTGCTCAAGACAACACAGGAAGCAACAATGGTAACGGCGGTGCGAGCACCACAAATGGCGCGGCCATTCCAGCTCCGACAGCCGGCGCAGGAGATAGACAATGTTCTGGTGTGATCACCTGTCAAAACGAAGGTGTTGCAATACTCAACGCGGACATGTCATGCAGCTGTATCTGCATCAACGGCTTTACAGGACGCACATGCACCAACAACGATGCCACTGGATGCACAACCACTAGTATTGCAGGTACGGCGAACAACGCTACCATGGGCTCCGGTATCCCACGCCTGATCGAAGAAGCCCCAACTAACTTCAACGTGCCCCTAAATGCAACCCTTATCCTGTCACTGTTCTCAACACTTTCTCTGAGCTGCGCGGCCGAGAACGCCTTGATCACATTCAACGGTCTGGCTTCTCGATCTGTACCCCGGCACCTGCACTCTATGGATTTGCGGACGACATTCCATCCTTCACGCACGCTATCAGCTCTTCATCATCCCCGTCCTGCGCAAATCCCAGGTCAGCAAGTCAAGCGTCAGACAGTCGGCCAGAGCAGGCAGAACGGAGCTTCTGGCAACCAGAACTCGGGTGGCACGAATGCTTTGATCACGCAGCCCATCTCTAGCAATGTCGATGCGCTTGACCTTGGCCGTATCGCTGTTCTACTTGCGCTTCAGGAAAGTCGTAGTCTAGACGTTGCTGCCAACGCACAGGAATCCATACAGACCCTACTCACCGACAATCGTAACGGCAATGCCAAATCTGGAACGGTCGATGTCGGCCCTTTCGAACTGAACATGGTGGATTTCACCATCAAGTTTGGAAATGGAACTACGATACAGGCGAAACCTCCCTCCCCAACCACCTCTTGAGCATCTTGACTCAATGTCTGCTCATTCTCAACATTTTGCGTTATCTGCTAAGCGATACCCTTTTTTTTGCGTTTCCAATCCACCCTACCGACCAACCCCCTATTTTCATTTTTGTCAAATCCCGTGTAACAACATCTGAGCCAGTGCGCCTACGGCAGCACACAACTGGCCTTCTTCTTCATCTACTATCCTTAAAAAACGCTTCCCCCATATACCCGTCCTGTGGACGTTTGTCATGACCCTTGGACTGGATCTAATGTTTTTGTACCACTGGATATACCCTAAGATGAAGTTGCAAAAAGCAATCTTGATCTAGTAGCATAGGAAGGATTTTTAAGTAGCATACTGCATTGAATACAAATTCCAATTGGAAAAGTTGTACAAACAATAACGTTGCCTCTGCACAGTGCTTGCTTTTGGTGTGTGAAAAATGCGAAATAAGGAGATGGCTAGGAAATTATAGTCGGCTGATGCCAAAACTCAGACGTCTTATTCCAACATAGACACGTGAACATACGCAACTATTTTATCCAAGAATCAAAGTCCCCATGTTCTTTCTGATTGCGACTTGCTCTTCTTGATTTTTTGCCTACTCTTCCTCGTTCTAGTTTGCTCTTTCTAATTGAGGCAGCATAAAAATTTTCTAAAATGGTCACGTGCGTATTGACATAGATCTGGTCTGCAGATGAGATGGCCTGCATGACTGACTTGGCTTTTTCTCTTACCTCGGTTTACTATACTATAGCGTATCACGTCAAATATCTCAGAAGATAATGGCAGGCTACACCCTAACCTACCGGAATCGGGTGACAAGAAATGGACTTTGGAGTCAAAGTACATAGTAAAAGTATTTGACGAGCATTTACGTCAGCGAGACTTCGCTCTTGAGCCCTAGAAGATCGTTTGGTAATACTACCAAAAATATGTACACTTCCTCACGGGTACATGCCTGTTAGGCGCACCTCTATCGGGTACGATAACTAAATCAATTACGGTTGCGACGAAGGCAGCAGAATAGCTAACTAGGGTTGCGATGAGACAGCAGTACAGCGAACTATGGTTGCAATAAGGACGGCCTGCATATTCGTATGCTCGAGTAATTCGACTTGGTAGGCGTTCAAAGCAGGTGCCACAAATGGCGTTGGCGATCAGGGCAGGGCTGTCCTACGTACCCCGCCATGCCCCACCTACGCAATACCGCCAATTGCCTGTTCCTGAGCTACCGATTGACACGACAACAGCCACATTCCCTCCACGCCACGCCTGCTACTGCTGCATCCTCTCAACCTCCCCAATTCTCCAAATATGCCTCAGGAAGCCTCCAAGGTGTCTGACCCCGACGCCGACACCAAAGTAGCCGCCGAAGCAGTCGCCGAATCGAGCAAACAAGCAGAGGCCGAGTCTGCAAACGAAAGTGGCGACGAGGAGACCGGAACAGCGGAAGGGGCCGAGGGTGCAGCCGGAAAGAAGAAAAAGAGCAAGAAGAACAAGATAAAGGATGCGCTCAGCGGCAAGGGAAAGGCGGGCGAGGTCACGGATTTGAACGCGCCCGCTGGAGGAATTCTGCCCAAGGAAGCTATGAACATGCTGCTCGCAAACAATCCTGCGCTTGCGAATGAACTCCAGGGCAAGGCGAATAATAAGGATGACCTGCAAAAGCTGCTCCAAGCGCTCAACCTCAACGAGATGCTCACAGGGCTCGCACCACAAGGTAGCCAAAAAGACATGGCCAGTCACGCGTTCTGGAAGACACAGCCCGTTCCCAGCTTTGACGAGATGGCAAACAAGGACAACATCAAGGATGGGCCAATCAAAGAGATTGATATTGAAAAAGTCGACAAGAACCCAAGCCCCATGTACCCCGGCTTTGAATGGGTGACTATGGATTTGGAACAAGAGAAGCAGTTAGAAGAAGTCTACGAGTTGCTCACCAACCACTACGTCGAGGACAAGGATGCAACTTTCCGCTTCAAATACTCGCCGTCGTTCTTGAACTGGTAGGATTGTTGCAACAGTAGACAATAATTTCAAGCTAACAGTCATAGGGCTCTCAAGGCACCTGGTTGGAAGAAGGAATGGCACGTTGGTGTTCGCGCAACCGCCTCGGGCAAGCTAGTTGCATTCATCTCCGGCATCCCGATACAGATGCGGGTACGCGACAAGGTTCTTAACTGCTCCGAAGTCAACTTCCTATGCGTCCACAAGAAGCTCCGTTCGAAGCGATTAGCGCCCGTGCTCATCAAGGAAATCACCCGCCGCTGCTATGTTGAAGGTACATTTCAGGCTGTATACACTGTTGGATCCCTGCTACCTACTCCCGTTTCAACCGCCAGATATTTCCACCGCGCCATTAACTGGGAAAAGCTGTATGATGTTGGTTTCTCTCCCCTGCCCCACGGCAGCACCAAACAACGCCAGATCGTTCGGTACAAGTTGGACGACACCACATTTACACCAGGACTTCGCGAAATGGAGGCTAAAGATGTTGACGCAACTCTCAGTCTCCTGCAGCGATATCTTGAGCGCATGGATATGGCTCAGGTGTTCAATAAAACTGAGTTCGAACACTGGATGGCACCAAAAGAGAAGCCAAAGGAGCAGGTCGTGTGGAGTTACGTCGTCGAAGACCCCGATACTCACAAGATTACAGACTACTTCTCCTTCTACAACCTTGAGAGTACCGTCATTGGTAACAAGAAGCACGACACCATCAAGGCGGCGTACCTCTTTTACTATGCTACTGAGGTTGCGTTTGAGAAAGACGAAGTAAAGTTGAAGAAACGGCTGAACTTGCTGATGAAGGATGCGCTCATTCTGGCAAAGAAGGTAAACATGCTGATGTTACACAACTTGGATGGTCAGCTAACAGAGTTAGGCTGATTTCGACGTTTTCAACGCCCTCACTCTACTCGATAACCCACTGTTCCTGGAAGAGCAACGCTTTGGTGCTGGAGACGGGTCATTACATTACTACTTCTACAACTATCGTGCTGCGCCGATTCCTGGCGGCATCAACTCGAGAAACCAGGCAAGCAAAGACCATATGGGTGGTATTGGATTAGTTATGCTGTAACCGCTCAGTGAGCTAGTACTTCAGAGGGATCCCCAGTTTGCTTCAAGAGCGAGTCGGTGGCATGCGGCACCAAAGTTGACGATACTATGGACGTATGTTGTCTTTCTTAAAATTTGGCTGCACAGTCGCCATGTAGTTCATACCAGTTTTCTGATATATCTGTGCCTTCTTCATCATTTATGTTCCATTTGCAAGCAGCACCAAAGCAATGAATGACCTTTGGCTAGTCACTGCTAGAGTGAAGCAGGTTTGACATGTGTGTCCAGATCGCCACGATTCACAAGCAACTCTGTCATTACATGCCCCAAGCCATAGCTGGAGGAGTGTCACTAATAGTGACTCGCAGTTCCCACACTTGCTATTAGGCATTGACGTCACATGGTCAACCTGGATTGCAGAGTGTTAGTTGTGCCGCTTGTGTGACACTACCATTCGATAAGTGCAACTACGCCTGTCCGCGGTTGTGGGCCCCTTTCCCACTCTAGCTACAGCCTCTCATTCACCTGGTCTAGCTTTGGCGGCAAAGAGCCACTTGTCTACTACTCTTACTCCACTTCCCTGCCCGCTAACATGGTGCCACTCCTGTCCCTTGCCAACTGAGACGCTAACAGCAAGTGAGTCTGGATTGGGCGTATGCAACATACTTTGGTCTCGGCTCGCTTTTCTTTTTACCACACTCTCGCTCTACCAAAGCCCCGACTTTCTGGCTTACAACTCTTAGCCCCCAATACGCCAGTCCACACTGCGATGGCTTGAACTTTTTTTTGTCGCTGTTTGCTATATAGCGTATCAGATCAATTATTTCAGAAAAGGATAGCAGGCCACTTCCTAACCTTCGAGAATTAGGTACGACAACCAAAACACGTTTACGATAAGACAGCAGCACAACAAAACATAGTTACAATAAGGACATGCAGTGCAGCGCTCTAATGCCTACAAGTTCGCTATATAATTCGTCTATCTCTCCTACCTCATCATCATCGCCGCACATTCATTTGGACTCAATCTCGACTCTCATCAATAAAATACCAAGCTTCGTTTCGTGGCTTTTATCACTAGTGTTTCTGCCTAATCAGCTGTGCTTACAAAATCAACAACGGATAAAGATCACTACCGCATCTTCAGAGGCTATGCCAGCTTTCTTTCGCCAACCACCTTTCAGCTACACTGCTATAGGCACGGTTTGTCATCAACTCTCGTTGTCATAATAGACTGCCATATAATGAATGGATCAGCATAACAGCAGCATAATGGCATGTGGTTCCGAACATGGATTGAACAAGACGTACGGAGACAACGAATTCGTCGACCAAGAGCCCAAGGTGCAGAAGCAGGCAAGACATAATTCACTCGGAAGTCTATCGACAGTGAGCGCATCAAGCGAGTCGCAAAAGCAATATGTCTCGGAAACGGAAATGAGCAATGCTGCAGTAGCGACCTACGCACCGGAGACAGCATTTGGATTCGTCACTATAAGATATTTTTGCGAAATTCGTCCTTCGTATCCAGAACATCCGGTGTCGCCTATGTAGGGAGCCGTGCTTTTCATCGGAGCTCGATACCTGCACCATGTTTCAAAACTGGATGGATGGTAAAACCGACACTTTGTTATGTATAGCTGAATGCAACACTTGTGGCTTGAACTATTGCATCTGCTGCAAATCGGAATCCGGTTCCAAACTTTCCAAGATTAAGATTGTTCAAAAAGAACTAAAACGTCACTTGGTGTTGCGTTGCTGGCCGACTAAGTATATCTCATATGGATGTAGCTTTGCGGTTTCGATCAACATCTTTCAGGGTCTAGTAGTAGTAGAAGAATGGAAAAGACCGCCGGACCGGCGAATTTTGATCAAAACTCCAAACACCATGCCCGTCTACGACGATTGGAAGGTCAACTTTAATCAGCCTGGCACCGACCATGCATGGGATTTCCGGTTACAACTTCGGTCCAGGTGGTCTGCCAAACCCATTCTATACTCCGCCCCAGTCTTTCACCAACCCTGCGACCGGCCCTGTGCTGGGATTCTTCACTAGTCCACCAAGCGGAATAGGTGCTTCCGGTACAAGTGCCGCTCGGCTGCCACTGCCATTTGTCAACCCTTCATCTGTCAATCCCTCACCTGGCCCTGTAATGGGATATTTCCCGTGTCCACCGAACTCCGACACGAGCTCCAACACGAGCTCAGCTACTCCGGGCCGTGGAAGTAGCGAGCAGGGAAGTCGAGGTGGGCGCGGCGATGGAGCGCCTGAAAATTGAACATGAAAGGTGCCAGAAACCAGGGTTGTGCATCTTGCCAGATGTGCAAAGAGCCAAGTTCGTCGTCTTTGCATTATCGTAAACATCGTGATATAATCGTTCGTCTCCGAATCCTGCTCACAACACATCCACACCCCCATCTAATCACCAACCTAAAACAACCCAAACTCATAATCATTATCATACAAAAAAAATATCCTACAAATATCATACACCCCCTCTCCCTTACTACCTCCCCTTCCCCTCTTCCCCACTCTCTTCTTCCTCCCTAACCCTAACCTCCCCCGCCTGCATGATCATCTGCGAAATCGAATTCGGCACATCATCCTCACTCTCATAAATGCGCTCATACCCCAACCGTCCCCTAAGCACCTTTCTCGCCTCCGCTAGATTCGATATGTCACTCACCCACATCACGCCGCCCAGCGCCATTATGCCTACACTAGCACAGTTCATGGTGGCGAGGTTGAAGGCCTGGCACGCGTCGGCGAAGGGGCTGAAGTACTCGTGTGGGTTGGTGTTTGGGGCGAAGTAGGAGGGCGTGAGGCGGATGTGGCGTCGGTGGATGGCGCGCCGGGTTAGGGTTGTGGAGAGGAGGAGGCAGGTGCTGCCGAGGAGGTAGATGGAGAGTTGGTGGAGGGAGCGCGGGGAGGTTATGGGCGGGCGTTGGTATGTGGGTTCGGTGGGAGGTTGTGGGGGTGGAGGAGGGGAGGGCGCTGCAGGAGCGGGAGGCGATGGTGTTGGAGCGGCGGGTGGGCGCATCATGCTTCGGATGATTGGGAGGTTTTTTAGGGTTTCCATTGGTATGGCGGTGCTGTAAGGTGCGCGGGGAGAAGGTGGTGTAGGCTTAGTGGTGCATTTCCGAGTGAGTTGCGGACTCCCGAGGTGGGTTGTGGTGTTGGATGAGTGGTTTCGGGTTCAACTGAGGATTGAACGATTGACGTCGTGAAAAGAGGGATGTTTGTATGATTTGGTTTTCCAAAGAAGTGCGGAGGTTCCAGAGCAATGGCGCGGGGAGTCTGCTGGAGGGCGTCACAAAAAAGTTGCGATGGGACCGCGGTTGGTGGACCCTTTGGTCCGTGCGCGGACATGCTTAGGATCCCTGCAGCACGTTCGTTGGTTCCTGATGCATATGTAGTAGGTCGCTGTAGGCATGAGAAGCATTACCAGAGCACCTTGAGAATCAGGTTGGTAGCTTCACAATAACAGTGCACCTCAATTGGTTAACTCGACTACCCCAAACTTTTCATTCATTACCCTCCATCTGTCTAAAGTGTTGGTATGCAAGCAAATGCTATGCAACAAGAAACAAATTCCCCTTCTTTTCAAATCGTCAACCACTAATGTCTTCACATAATCGCTCCTGAAATTATCCAACATGACTCCAGAGTCTAATATCTCGACCGGTGCACCGGCCGCTGGGGGCCCTGCATCATAGCCAAACGAGCCGGGTTCATACCAAAAGTCTCAGCTTCCGATGGCTTCTCCGTCGCCTCAGCCTCCTCAGCACCAGCATCTTCACCCTTCTTGCCAGTCTTGGCCTCCTTCTTCTGCTTACGTTCGCTTTGTTTCATTTCGAGCTCGGTCTTCCTGACCCGGTCGCGGGCGCGCTCGTCGTGGAGCTTCTCGTTCTTGGCTGCGATTTTGGATCTGCGGACTTCGCTGTTACCGCCGCCTCCAGCACTGTTCATCTTGTTAGCTTTTGCGCTGATCGAATATAAAGAATGTAGGGCGCAATATTAGCATACCTTAATTCGACGTTGATCTTTCTGCCCTCCTTCTTCTTGGGGTCAGGGAAGACGGAATGGTGGTACTTCTTCAAGCATGTCACCATGCGGTCGAATCGGTCAAATTCAACAAAGCATGTACCCATGAACTTGTCGCTACCCTTGTATGTACGTAGGCGAATCTCGCTGGGCTTGATCTTTTCAAAGTGCTTCTCGATTTGCTCCTTGGTTGCAGAGTAGGGGAGGTTGCCTGGGAGTTGTTGATTAGCGGTTGGTAAGCAGCGTATGTGCATTACTATACATACCAACAAAGACGATGAAGCGACCTTGGTTGGCTTCGACTGCAGCCTCAGCTTCCTCTGCCTCCTCAGCGTTTACTTCCTCGGTGACTTCTACGTCTTCCGCGGCAGCTTCACCGTTGGTTTCGGCAGAAGCTTCGCCATTGGTCTCTACATCCTCAGACTTCTTTGCCTTCTTTTCTTTCTTTTCCTTCTTGTCCTTCTTCTTGTCCTTCTTTTCCTTCTTCTCGGACTTGGACTCAAGGTCTACACCATTGGCCTCTACCGGGGCGGGCTCCGCTGTGCCATTCTGCTCCTCAGCAGCGTCTTCCATAGGTGTGTCCTCAGTCTTGGCATCATCCTTGCTCTTCTTTGACTTTTTCGACTCTTTGTCTTTCTTTTCCTTCTTCTCCTTCTTCTTGTCTTTCTTGGCTGGCGCATCAGTGGCGTCGGGCATTGGCTCGTCGTCGTTGACGCTGATAAAGTTTTCGGACTTCTTCATCTCATCGATGAGAGCAGCCTCCTCTGCGGGGGCATCTTCGGAGTCGTCGACATCCTTGGACTTTTTGGACTTTTTGGATTTCTTCTCCTTCTTCTCCTTCTTTGCGTCTTCTACAGCCTCCTCAGTGGCGGATGCTTCTACATTGTTCTTGTCCTTCTTTGATTTCTTATCCTTTTTGTCTTTCTTTTCCTTCTTTTCCTTCTTCACCTCTACAGCTTCGACTGCAGGCGCATCCGAGGAATCTTCGACCTTCTTGGACTTCTTGGACTTCTTGGGCGCATCCTCTGCTACCTCAGTATCGCGCTTGCGCTTCTTCTCGACGTTATCAACCTTGGACTTAGACATGATGGCGGCGCAAAAATGTTGGAGAAATGTTGTAGCGTCGCGAAACGAAATTCCGAGCCCTTGAACTTTTTCTGCCGAGCGGTGAGCGCGAGGGCCGTCTTGGCGCGTGAACAACGGATGGCCGCAAAGAACATCTGAAGAAAAGGCAAAGCAATTGCAAACGACAATGCGGCCGCCGGCGCATCTGGCAAAGCTGCCACGGGGCGCTTTGAAGCCCCCAAGAAACCACACGCCCAATCCTCCTTGTCCGCGCCAGTTCTCTTACAGGCACCCCCGCCAATTCCTCGTTGCCCACCAGGGCTCTGCGCGGCCACAACTCCCGTTCCTGTACCCCTCTGGCCAGCACCTCTCCAACGGCCAGCTCCAGCGTCTATTCTCCATCAGCGCAAATCACAAGAAGTTCATCAAAGAGACTGCGAAATTGAGTGTGCGATACAGCATACTCATCTTCCTCCTTACGTCATGCTTCAGTATCGCAAGCTTGGGCATACTGAGCGAACAGCAAGAGCGGGCGTTTCCGTCGCCACATGAATGGAGCCTGATCACAAGGTTCAGATTTAGGAGAGGAAAGTGGTGGCAGGTTCCCGAAAACAACGAGGAAGAGGGCTTTCCGAATTGGGCCCGAGTCTACTCAGAGCTGGAATATGCGCTGAATCGGCTTGAGAACCCAGACAAGGACGGAGCTGGCCTTGTGGAACAAGAAGAGGGAGGAATATTAGTCCCGGGGGTGGGCAAGGCAGGCTTTGATATATCGGCAAAGAGCGACGAGTGGCGGCAAGGCTACTATGAAGTGCTCATGGGCATGGCCAGTGCCGCAGAGCGACTGGATGGATGGGTTACAGACAAATGGAGAAGGAATGTCTGGGCACCAGAGTTCGTCCCATCGGCTACAAATCCGCGACCGAAGGCTGTGCTTCCTGGAATGCCAGAAGTACCGGACGAAGAGCATCGTGTGCCTGCTGCTGAAGCACCCGAGTCTTTCTATCTCACGATCATCACATCCAAGGGATTTACCACCTATCAAAGGTTATCTGCTGCCTTGGGGTATGCCGACTGGCTCAGCTTCCGAAAGCTTCCAGACTCTGCTGAGGAGATGTACAGATGGGCACTAGATATTGCTATCTCTGGCCTCCCAACCTCAGAGCCCTCTGCAGTCATTGATCGAGAGACTGGTGTCCTAGCTTCCACCGCACCAAAGAACTCAATCACTCCTAACGTTGTCTACGCTGCTACAAATCTGGCTATATTCTTCGCTGAGCAAAGAAGAATCGCATCCGCATTACCAATCTTTGTATCTCTACTCCGGGCTCGTATCGGTGCAGAAGAGGCGCGTAGACCCACTATTGCACCACAAAAGGATTCAAGTTTAGTGGGCACATTAGTCAGTCTTCTCCGTGAGCCAGATTACCCCCCGGTTCCGCCCTCGGGAGATGAACCTCTTCTGCGTAAAGAGAGTGACCGTTGTGAGGAAGCTGCACTCAAGAACTACATTGGCGAGATACTCTTCGCGACTGCAGGGTCGTCTTCTACCCAGCGCCAGCAGGGCCTTTCTTGGGTCCGCGACGGAGTCTCAACCTCCAAGATTGCGCAATCTCTAAATGCTATACGCACTAACGACGATCTTCGCAAGAAATGTGAAAAGTGCGAGGAGGTTGGCCTGGAGTCATGGGGAAAGATCATGACTTATCTTGCTGCCGAAGCTAGGGAGAAGCGCGACAAGGCAAAGAATGGAGGTTTGTCAAGTTTGATGTGGAAAGTCAAAGGGACTAAAACACTAGATGAGGAAGTGGAGAAGCTGGAAGGCGAGGAAGAAGGCGTTACACTCAGGCTGAATAAACTGAGGAGCAAGATGCTGAAAGAAGAGTACGAAGAGATGGATCGCAAGTATGCACGGACTTTTGTATTCTAGTAGCTGACTGTACCATATACTTTACAGCAGGCGATAGTGCCAAAGACTACGGAAGAGCATGTTGCTTTGCGTTGTGTCTTAACTATCAGACCTTTCTTGAACACTGCTTCCCCCCACGCGTAAAGTGATTCGCTCTCGATAAAGCCTTGATGTAGTGTGATGTGTGAGCATGGGATAGTGCATGTGCGCAGAACGACTGTTCAGGGGCATCACAAGGCAGAGTTCTACTCATGTTCGCCATCCCTTTCGGGAAGGTCACACCGTTCGGCTATCAACACTCCTGTTTACTCCACACCTGAGATTCTCGTTTCGCTCGTGAGCGCCATACAGTCACCAGACCCAGCTGCTGCAGACACCCCTTTCTTTTTCTTTCCAAGGGCGATAGACGTCGGCGGTCCTTATGCGCAAAAAGGCAACTCACAGCGAGTTTCTTGGCCGTAGTTCAGCTCGGAAATCGCCAGCTCCTAACGTGGACATGCTTTTCGCGCTTCATTAATCCATCGGCTACGCCTTTGCCCTATCAAAGTCGCTGCATCCCTGGGCTGGGATCGCCACATAAAGCCACCAGCCTTGCATTAGGGCCCGCGCACATGGCGGCCAACCATGCACGCCACATCCGCCTGCCACCACGAGTAGGACGGGCCCCGATTATCTGCCGTTTGCTTGCCTCAGGTCTCCACGTGTGAATGCGTCTTTAGTTTATTGGTAGGGCCAAGATGCTCATCTGGACAAAATCAGCGAATGGGAATGCAACGAAGGTGTATGCATACATAGATGGGTGGAACTTGCATGTAAAGGTGTGTGTGTGTGGAAGCAATAGTAGGGGGATAATACATCTATGCAACGCACGGCGAGGACAGACTAAAGGAGTTCACTCAGCTGAATGGGTCTTGTGTGCAAGAGGTGCAGATATCATATAAGATAACTGTCATGGCGACGCTCAATACAAGCCTGATTTCCTTCTTTCGTCGATTAGAAACACAGAAATCATGGGTTTGACATCTCTCATTGCTGTTGTGACAGTCGCTGTGTCCTTGGTGAACGGAGCACCTCTCTCACAAGAAAAAAGACAAGTACCAAGTGGTGTACCCGACTATGTCTTGAAGTATGGTGAGTTGTTTCTCTCTTTCTCCCAAAGGGAGAAAAGTCTTCTAATATCATACAGCTCCAATCGTTTATCTTCACTCCGAGGAGAACTATTACCCAACCGACCTTCAGTCATTCCTCACCCATACTACCCCTCGCGTAAACTTCAATGAAGTCCCTGGTCCTTCCAAGCCCCTAACGACCTCAAATTTGGATCAAATGGCCAACAATGTCTGGCTTACTTCCAATGATGATGTTACAACAGATCCTACATGGATCAAAGGCACAAAACCTAACGCGAGTGGTAAAACTGAGGGCGCAACAACTGCAGCCGTCATCGTCAACGACAAGGGAAATGGAAATGTAGATGCCTTTTACATGTACTTCTACGCCTACAATTACGGTGGAGAGGTACTGGGATGGAAGCAACTAAACTTTGGTAAGTTACATCCTCATCTCTCCAACCAAGTCCACCACAACCACCTGTGCGTATCACAATACTAACACACACCACCCAGGCAATCACGTCGGCGACTGGGAACACACCATGGTCCGCTTCTCCAACGGCCAACCCACCGCAATCTGGTTCTCACAGCACGCCAACGGCCAAGCCTTCCGCTACTCAGCCGTCGAACGCGACGCCACCGGCATCCGCCCCATTGCCTACTCGTCCAAAGGCTCGCACGCAAACTACGCCATGGGCGGCACCCACGACCACACGATCCCGAACCTCAACCTCCCCGGCGGCGTCCTCGAAGACTACACCAACAGAGGCACCGTCTGGGACCCGCTGCTCAGCGCCTGGTACTACAAGTTTACGCCCAGCACCAACAAGTTTGAAGCGTATGATGGACAGGCGCCCACCGCCTGGCTCAACTTCAAGGGCAGGTGGGGCGACCAGGAGTATCCGGAGAGCGATAAGAGACAGTTTAAGCTTTTTGGTCAAGCCAAGTTTTCGGGGGGGCCGACGGGGCCGGCGGATAAGCAGTTGAATCGGGAGAAGGTTTGTCCTGAGAATGGGAAGCTTTGTATTTTGAGGAGTATACTTGTGCCGAGGAAGGCGGGGATGGATGGGGCGTTGGCGGAGAGGGATGAGGTTGTGGGGTGAGGGTGGAGTTGTTGGTCTTTTTTACGATGTTATCTAGTAAAGTTTCTTTTCAATTTTATATATCCAGAGAGGGTGATGGGAAGGGATGGTTTCCCTGTGATTGGACATGAATTGATCGAGATAATACCCGCCATACATGTTTTATAATATGAGAGTGAAGTTTGCAGGTAATGAGTTTTTTTCTCGCAGTCTCATGCTTTAAATCTCTTCTAATTGTCACTAATCTCTTTATGCGGGTAAATGAAAGGGAAAGAGGTGTTGTCCAAGTGAATTGTCTGTATTCATTGTCAGTATTCTGGGTCCATACGCTTGTGTTAATATTCTGCATTCAATAATAGAGGACTGCCGTTTTGACACAGTCATGTGTAGACGAAGGTTTGGAAGGTACCAAATTTACGCTCTCTAAATTCTTAAGGTTATGCCTTATTGAGACGGTACATTCGGACATGGTACATGATATTTTGTTAAGACATGCATTGAATTTTCCGGAAGGTGGAGTACCCTGTACACAGGTAACCTATGATGAAAACGGGAGTGCTATCCAAGTGATCTATTTAGGCTGGAATGACAGGCCATCGTAGTCAGCTCATTTTAAGTTGTAATCATATTTGAATAAACTGTATCTTTTAACGTGCCATCCTAGTGGAGAATACCCGCCCCCCTCTCATAAACTTCGCTTAAAAAGGCCGGAACCAAAAAAAAGTCATAACGTTGCAATCGAGAGAAGGATGTTATGCATCCTCCGGGAGTCGAACCCGGGCCAATTGCTTGGAAGGCAATTATCCTACCGTTGGACCAAGAATGCTTGATGGAAATTTGCAAAATGTTGTGATTAATATAGTACTTCAATATTGCCGTTGAGGTATTACAAGAGGACTGGACTTCATAGCCTTGGCGCACAGGCTTCACTCCGTCCCACTAGCATTGACGAATCAGGCTAGCGCAAGCTCCATCGTGCATTTACTTTCACAATCTAGGGCTACCAACCGTTCACTGATAACATCCGGAGCACACCGATGAACCGCTTCCGGTATTGTATACTTTCGTCAAAATACCCTTCACCAAGTTACTGGGTCCACTGGGGTCGTAGATTTCGGCCCGTGGGAGCAACGGATATAAGCCCAAGTATATAAACTTCCATCTGGGCCCATAAAGAGCTTTTTGAGTATTTGTCCAACTCAGGTCTTCCAATCCTTCTCGCACATACTTACACAAGTCCTACAAACAGTCTCTACGATGCGATACCAAGCTTTCAACGTTATCCCTGTTGTATTGCTCTTTGCAGGTTTTGCATCTGCCACCCTTGGCATACGCAATCCCATTTGCCAGCCTGCGAGTCCTAGTAAGGTGGTACATATATCCAATGGTGTGATCTATAACAGATTATGTATGCCAAAAGCGAGAACACAGGATCCTCCTGGAGATTGCTGTCCGGACGATATTAAAGCATGCCGAACAGTATGTGCAGACAATGTAGGCCCACATGACAGCTTGACCAAATGGCATATATTATGAAACATGGCCGATGTTAGAGCAGTGTAATGGTAGTGATGATTTGTTTCAATCAGCATGGATAAACCCTCAGGGGACTTGTGCCTGCCACTATTACCTTTGCTGTACTATCTTGTAGTAGTGTCTTAGGAGCCATTGTAATATATGCTTTAAAAGCGTGGTTATAACATTATCACATGAAGGGAATCCATGGTATTTGTTCCAAGCGTTAGGCATGGAAATAAATTCATGGCCAAAATTTTTGGAAGGTGTAGTAGGTGGAGGCTACCAAGAAGCATGCGGTATTAATTCGTTGCTGGGCTGAGCGTCTTGACAATAGTATATCTATAGCCACTACAGTCCACTATTCACATTCCCCCAAATATCTCAATCGCAATATTTTTGTGAACGCAAACAGCGATAAAGAAGTCGCGGGACCACGTGACATGGTCCTGAGAAGAGCGGGAGAAATGAATGTCTTGAAAATGACAGAAGCACCAAGCCAACCCCAAACCCCCTTTCAAACATGGTTGTATACCTCCAATCATCCAACCAACATGTAATGTGATACAAGACAAAACCAAGGAAACCAGTGAACGATGATTACGCCATTGACGTACAAATGGCCAGAGGAAACCAAATGCACCTTGTACTAACCTCAAAGCGGCCTAGCAGATGATTAAGCTGACTTAGTAAACTGCATTGTATCGCAAATCCAACAAGAACTCAAGACGTATTTGTAAATATACGTGCTACAGCCGCGGGACGCTGCAAGTAAGCATGCAGTCAGCACGCCTGTAGGACCTTATTAGCCAATGAAACTACACGCATTAGACTAGCGGACCCGGGTTGTAGTTTGTGTATGCTGGATCGATAAGACGACATGTTGAACATGTTTATGAATCATCGAATTGAGGGGTTTTCATGGTGTTCGTGACAAATAATAGTGCCTTTTGGAAGAGATGGGGCGTGTATATAGTCTTGCAAGATGGATCGCAGGGAATGGCAATCAACTCTTAAGTACAGAAACACAGTCCTCAACTTGCACTCGATTGACCGATAAATTCAAGTTAGAAGATATTCCAGCATGCCACTTTCAACCGATACCCAGGTGCTAGAGACTAGTAATGGTCTCGTGAGCACACTTCGCGGAATGGCTGGCGATGCAGCAAAAAGCTTTCGACCAGGTTCGTCGTTCTCCCCTTGCATGACCCTTTCAGGTCACTAACACCCACTCCTAACGCAGCCCACGCAAAAGGCCATCTCCTAACCGGAACTTTCACACCTACCTCCTCCGCCGCAGAGCTGACTTCAGCCCCAAATTTCAACGCTGCATCCACACCAATCACCGTCCGCTTCTCCTCCTCAACCGGCTTCCCCCAAATCCCCGACACAGACGCCAACGCCAACCCGCGCGGAATCGCAATCCGATTTCACCTCCCGGAGCAAAACGACAAACGGCAGCACACTGACATAATCGCCCATTCTACAAAATACTTCCCCACACGCACAGGAGCCGAGTTCCTCGAATTCCTCAAAGCAGCAACAAGCAGCAATGCCGCTGAAGCCGTCCCCGAGTTTCTATCTCGCCACCCTGAAACCGTGCGATTCCTTCAAGATCCTAAGCCCAGTCCCGAGAGCTTTGCTACGGAAAAGTTCTTTGGTGTAAATGCGTTCAAGTTTGTCAAGCAAGATAAAGTTACCACGCTGCGATATCGCATTGTGCCTGTTGCGGGCGAGCAGCATGTCGATGTTGAAGCGCTCAAGAGCAAGTCCGATACCTACCTTTTCGACGAATTGACACCGCGTCTTGAGAAAGCTCCGATTGAGTTTAAGCTTCTTGCGCAAATTGCGGAGGAGGGCGATGTAACGGATGATGCGACGCAGATTTGGCCTGAAGAACGGAAGGTGGTTGAGCTGGGTACGATTACGATTGAGAAGATGCTAGGGGAGGAGGAGAGTTTGGAGAAGCAGAGGAATGTGATTTTTGATCCCATTCCGAGAGTTCAGGGTGTAGAGCCGAGTGATGATCCCCTGTTGGAGGTGAGGGCGAATGTGTATTTGATTTCTGGGAAGCAGAGGAGGGAAGCTGAGCCCGTGAAGAGTGATGTAGGGAAAACCACCGATGCGGCGGTGGCTGCTACGTAGAGATGTTTGTTTTCAGGATTTGGGATATATTGAAGGCAGCGAAATCTGTCAAGAAATCATATGCATGTTTTTCATTATTTCTTACATCGTTAGCTGTCTCTTTTGTGAAATTAGGGTGTCACTCACTTCCTGTGCCCCCTGTTAGCTGCAGAAGTGCCATAGAAGCTGATGCCCAATATCTAACTTAGTGGCTACTTCTAGGATATATGGCTTCGAAACGAAGTGCCATGTAGAGGAAACACCAAGCTAGCTACAAAAAGTTTAATTGAAGAGCCAGCCGCTCATGGGTCAAGTTGGAAGAGTAATGATAGGTCAAGTTCCAAATAAACAATAAGACTATAATAAGTGTCAACCTGCGTAACTACTAGAATCGTCTTCTTGCCAGCCGGTCATGAGAACCGTTAAGCTAAATTAGTTTGGTTTGGCCCACCTTGACACGTTCGGTGGGTCGGCAATAACGTTAGAGTACCGTATAAAGCAAAACGGCCTCAGCTGAGAAGACTTTAGCGGATGAACAGGAAACTTCAGCCGAAGACACCTCAGCTGACAGCAAACCAAATGAGCCTTAGGTAAATCGAATTTGAAGTCAAGTCAAGTAACTATTACCAACTAGTTTCTGATAGAGGATAGATCTGCATTCAGTGACACCGTCGTGCAGAAGCTATATAGTAGTACTAATCAATGCTGCGTCTATATAAACACCGGGGGCTTCTTGTCTGACGCGCAGAATCCATTTCAAAGCAGATCAACTCATCAACCCACTTCTAACATGAAGCTCATTAGTGCTACCCTTGCATTCCTGTTCGGCGCAGCTCCGACCCTAGCGGCCGTTGGTGGTCGTTGTTCAAACAACTGGGGCGATGACTGCATTTGCCTCGACCATAATGTATGCCGCACTAGATGGGGCGGTATCGCGTACACTGGATATCCCGGTAATTGGCCTTGCCCTAATGACCCGGACAACATCATGGCGTGCGTCATCCCTGACTGCCCGGGCCACGGCTCCGGCACTCAGTGCCTATGGAGAGAAGGTTGCCGGTCTTTGAACGGCGGTAAGTCGTTTGATTTTGGCAGCTCTAGATATGATCCGGTCCCTGATGTGCGTTGCAGATCGCGTTTGTCCGGGTGGAAACGATTTTGTCTGCTGCAACCACAACTACCTTGGCGGCTAAGGAGAGTGACATCAACGGCTAGGTCGGAACCACATGAGGTGGTCATATGAATCAATTTGTCGGGAAAGCTGAAGAGATCACCTCTGTGCTGAAAACGATAGCATATACGTGTAAACAGTTTGATCCTACCGCGTTTGCGGTGAAATGCAATACACAATATAACGTCGGTCACTACGTAGCGAGATACACTGCGTGGCGAGCCGCCACAGACACGCCCCGACATAATGAAATCTACAGCAGGTTACAAGAATAGACATTCTCAGATTAGGAGCCTTATATTACATATATCATACCACAATGCAGTATAAGCGTCACGCAACCGCCTCGCTTTAGCTAGCAGTAGGTGCGTCAACAGCTTATAGATCTTATCGAAAGTCTGTTAGCTTATAGCTTGTTATAGCATCATTCCGTTCTAAGCACTGTACCTAAATCTGAGAGGTTGTCATGCTTCTGTAGTGGTACTAAGTACCCGCTAGAAGTGCTAGACAAGAAAGACCTGCACACCTAGCTTAAAGCAGCTTAGGTGTAGTATATCGCTGCTAACAATATATCTATAGCTACAGCTGACCTGCACCGGTTATAAATGTTATAAGCCTTTTGGCGATAGAAGGTTGTAATATTATAGATACTAGCAGGAGCAAGGCAAGGCTAGCCCCCTCTGTTCTGAGAAAGAGCGCAACGCATAGGTACCAGAAGCCGATTCTGCAAGCGAGTTAGCGTAGCAATTGCTCAATGTCTTTCATCGGAACTGTTGTGGTCCTACAATTTGCATGTACACTCCAAGTACTACGCCAATCCCGAAAGCGTAAGCCCTCGCGGTACGTTAGCTATTCATGGAATGCGTCAAGTATGCAAGGGTCGATTGAGTTCAGCCTTTTCACCGTTTGCCACGCCGTTTCCACAATCGTACAGAATATTCACTGTGGTCATCAGTATCAAGGTAATTCATCCCAAGAACCCCGATACTCTAGTCTTCAAGACGGCCAGGCTCTTTTACGACAGCCAATCAAATCAAAAGGATACTCCCAGCTACTTAGCAGTACCCCGAAGGGACAGTCTTGTATTACTCTCCCTTGTTCTCTCCAACCGCCTTCGTTCAAAGCGTGTTACTATCCGGCGATATCTTTTGTCATAGACCAGTCCCAACCCGTGTAACTACCTTCAGCACTGCCACGCCACGCGAAAATTCTAGCAGTGTTGTACGCATGCAGTGCCATATACGTAGTGTGTGACCCAGTAACCGGGCATTGCCAACTTGGCATAGCTTACCCCGACAAGTATCCGATCGCACCTGTACCCGGACCCAGCGAATTATTTCAGCTTTTTTGCGCCATACTGACCAGTAGACGCTGGTGCTACAATTTCACCGTTTAGCTCGAGTCCTTGCCTCGATAAGAGTACAGTTTGTAGTACCTCTTATTTCATTTCTTTCACTACTATCTCGTAAATGCAAGCAGGTATCATTGTGGCGTTTCGATCACTCTTTTCTCCCTGAGACAAGTAAAAACGTCGTCTGACACAGTCGGGTAAGCCACGCGCTGCAAGGGCATTCCTACCATTTTCTTTGATAGATTGGGGCGTGGTGCTTTGCGCAAGTCACAGATGGACGGAGGGGCGGCCCGGCCAATTAGCGTTTACGGTAGGAGTTGCGGGGAGGGCGTGATGGGGTTGGTCTTGGCGACGGCCGTTGTTCTGAGGCAACGGCTGAACTGCCCTTGGCATTGCTGGTGTGTAGATGGATTGATTGGTGGGTGAGCTCAGCTTCAAGAAACGGTGCAGCGCCATGTTGCTTGAGAGGGTAAGTGCGTCGGGAGGTAAAGAGGGGGGATGGGGTTGACGATTGCGGACACTAGAGTATGGTTGCTATTACTATGTGGACTGGGTGTTTTTTTTGGCGTTCTAGGCGGATGAGTGGAACTTATTGCACATGCTACTAGATAATATTGTCGCAGTATAGATGCATTTTGGGTCTCGGTACGAATCGTGCTGAAAACAGCTAATCGAGTTAATACGGTCCTTCGTGATACGGGGGCGGAAGAACACACCTCGAGCCGTTAAGCCAGTATTACCTCTCTCATTCATTCGTCAGAACGCCATTACCCGAAATCAGGCTGACTGTTTCCGTCTTTGCATTTCCCGCCTTCCTTGAAAACCCGTTTTCAGGTCACTTGCCCGACGTCGTGCTCATGTGAGCGAAGGGGAGGGGGCAAATCCTCTATCCTCGTTGCTAAGCCATCTTCGTAGCACGATGCCGTTTCCTGTAAAGAGCCACTGAAACTCTGGTGGAGCTGGAGTACGTGCCCCACGTCTCAAAACATTTTCCTTCTTTTGGAAGAATGTAAGTGGATGCGTTCTTGAATCCCGCCTTTGTCCGGGATAGCTTGGCGGTACATTTCCGATGCTCATAGTCATCCCTTCGGGGGGACAAGATCTAAGCCCTTGCGCAGCGGGTAGGCCCCAGAACCATACGTTCGTATCTTTCGCACTCTTGAGAGTCTCGTCAATGTCTTTGTGGTGTACCAGTCGCCCATTTCGCACAGTTGAATGGATGGTATAACAATTGTCTCGAAATACCACCACCGTTCTCACCAAAGCCCTGCACATACAACTCTTTCCCATCCCTCAGACATGGCCACCAAACTCCCATACCACAAAGCCTTCGGCTTTGTAGTCGCCACACGGATAGCATCGATATTCTCAGTCGTAGGGTCCAGTATCATTGTCGCCACATTCATCGCCTTTCCCTTTTTCCGAAAACGTGAGTCGAGCGACAGGTCTTTCTGGTACAATGGACTGACTCGCTCGAACAGCAATCAACCGCCTAGTCTTCTACGCCACGCTAGGCAATATTCTCACAAATGTCGCAACACTAATGTCGAACTCGGTGTTACCAGCGCCGGGTGAACCTGCATCTGGCCTGTGTGAATTTCAAGGTCTTCTCATCCAATGGTTCATGGTCGCCGATTCCTTCTGGGTTCTTTGCATGGCCTTAAACGTCTTCCTCGTCTTCTTTTACGGCTATGGCGCGCAGCAGCTACGCCATTTGGAAAAATGGTATTTTGCTTTTAACTACGGTATCCCGTGTATACCAGTCATAGCTTATGTTGTGCTTAGCCGAACTGGTCATCCCGTTATAGGTTCTGCGATGCTATGGTGCTGGGTATCTGTTGATGTTGAGTGGATGCGCATAGCATTCTTCTATGTTCCTGCGTGGTGGGTCCCTGTCCTTTCTCAGATGCTTGCTAGTAAGTTGCTGATAGGAGCTGTGAAGGGTCACCATTTTGGCGGCTATTACCATTTACAGTGTGACGGGGTACCGAATTTGGCAGAAGCAAGTCGAATTGCGGTATTTTTCTCGGGACTCGAATCAATTCGTAACAGTGCGGGATCCGAGCGACGAAAGAGAAAGCGCCGGAGATGTTTTGTCGGGAAGGAATAACATTGTTGTAACGACGCGGATTGAGTGCGATACCCAGCAGCAAAGTGATGTGTTCAGGAGTGTCTCTCCGGATCCAGATTGCATTTCGATCAACTCCTTCTCGAGCACGCAGAGACTTTCCAGTATTCGTAGACCCGATGTGCTGGTTTCAGGCCCGCTCCACGATACTTCTCCGATCTGAATTTCTAGATTGTTAGAGGACGTGGAAGCGCAACTCAACTTCCACCACACCCCACCATCACGAAGCAGTTACAGAGCAACAATAATCGCCACAAGCCCACCTCCAGAACCCAAGACTGTACCACCAACAGCGATATCGAAACCCCGTCCTCCAGCTAAAAGAACACCAGAGGGCCATGCTGCAGCAATGGCATACTTCTACGTTGCCTTCCTCATGTTCTTAGCGTTATTCGTTGTCTGGCTGCCCAGCAGTATAAACCGCATGTACCAATTCACGCACAAAGACCGGCCCAGTTTTGCTCTGAATATTCTTTCCGCGACGGTCCTGCCGCTTCAAGGTGCCTGGAACGCAATCATCTATATCTTCACCACAAGAGCAGAGTGCAGGCGTGCGCGGAGCATGATAGTTGAAAAGATCACGGGCAGGTATGCGCAATATCAACCATGGAGAGAGGTGAGTGTCAAAGAGATGATCACGAGTTCGCAGGCGACACGGGAGTCGGCTGTGGATGTTGAGTTGAGCGATATCCTTGGGCACAATAGACAGGCACGCCAGATCAAATCGCCGAAAAACGATCACATGAAAGATGATGATCGATGTAGCAAACAGATATCGAGATGATGCGGTTGTGTTCCTCTATATCGTTGCAGCGCTCTGGTATACTAGTAGTGGGACGCTCTTCGTTGTGTTGTGCCAGCATGTTACGGCTCCCATCTTTTCAGCATTTGTTTTCTTTCACTGTAAATTGGCTTCAAGAGGTGAACAGTCCAACGGTCTTGGACTATCGTTGTATATTTCTGTTTCTTGCTTCCTGTCACTTTGGGCGGCTTAGTTTGATCCTGAGCTTGATTGCATGATACCCCCAGTTGTTTGGCGCACGGCGTTCTATGATTTGTGCTTTCCAGTATTGCATGCTTGACCAGGAGCCAAAAGTATTGCACCGACAACGCAATCTCAAACAGTCCCTTTTTCGTAATTATCCTAGAATTTGAATTCTATCTCACATAATCGACTAGGATCGGATGCTCAATGAAACCGTGTTTACAGGTGTCCAATCTCGTATAATGCATCTTAGTCTGTTCGTGTCAGCACATTCTTGCCGGCAATCCGGACATCGCCGATCGCTGATTTCCTTCTACGCGTACGACCCGATATGGCCTTGTCGTTCCTCCGCCGGCTCATCTTTATCACGTCCATGAGCGTATTCTTCGTCACGGGGCTGGAGTGCCCATCGTTGTGTATCCCCTCAGCCGATTTTGGCATTTGAAAAGTCCATCTCGGGATGCTGCTCCTGAAACTTCTTCAAGATGTTGGCCTTTTTCTGCTCATCGCTGGTGGGCTTGCCCTGTTCCTTTTGCCTCTGGTCGTACATCATCTTCTCGACCATGCCCCGCGTTTCTCCGTCGAGGTCGCCCAGCTTGCTGTTCTCAGGCTGAATCTTGGAGGTGTCGATCTTGGGGGCAGTGGTGACAATATGGGGCCACCATTCGAGCTGGTTGACTTTGTCGAGATGGATTGAGATTTCTTTTGCGGAGCCGGTCGAGGCTAGTGTCCAGGTGGAGTCGTCGACGCGGACGGGGTGGGGGAAGTCACCGTGCAGGATGGGTGTCTCGCCCTTGATACCGGCCTTGATGGAGTTGCGGCCAATGTTGATGTCGAGGTCCTTGCCTTTGTACTTGGCGTCAATGGTGATGGTGATGTCAAGGTCCTTGATGGTCTGGTCCCACTTGTACGGCAAAGCGGCCTGCTCGGCCTGCTCTTTTGCGCGGGCTTCGGCGTCGGCCTTTTCGCGTTCCTCTGGGGGCGGTGAAGCAGACATTTTGTGGTGTGGCTGGCTGGCTGTGTGTATGCGGTGTGTCGAGAAAAAGTTTCGTTTTGTGTTTGGAGGGGGAGGGGGAGGACAGGCGGGACCCTGAGGGCGGTGGGCGCAACCAAGAAGGGCCAGGGAGCGTCATCGCCCAAGGGACCTGAGCAAGCTCCACCATGCGCCCTGCCTCACTCCTCCACCCCGGCCAGCTCTAATAACGGCCATCGACCGCGGTGCTGCGACCTACAGGCCTCACCTCACCCTCTCCTCTATCCATAGTCCACGTTCCTCCCGTTCAGCCAACATCGCTTCCGCCCTGCCCCCGCGCCGTAATGCTGCCCTAGGACCAGCAGAGCCATTGCGATAGTGCAACGCGACCATCTTCATTTGGACCCGGACGACCGCCGGAGCGTCTTGCCAGCAGCCCAGTCGGGCACCCGTCTGTCCGGCGCGGCAGTATTCCTAGCAACCCATGGCCAGCTCCTTTGAGAAGAGCGTCAAGGGCGGCACCAAGATCAAGGCAAGTATGCGCTGCCTCTACACCGAGTCGCAGCCGGCTCATCGCCGCTACTATCGCCATTGCCATGGACTAACACACCCGCCAGCTCGCAGCACCGAAATCAAAGTATGTCGAACACATACTCGTTGCGACACACGCCGGCGAAGCAGGCGTCGCTGAAATCTTCCGCGCCCTCACCAACCGTCTGCGCGACTCGACATGGACCATTGTCTTCAAGAGCCTTATCATTGTCCATTTGATGATAAGGGAGGGCGAGCCCGAGGTTACGCTCAAATTCCTTGCCCAGAATCCCCACCGGAAACTGGCCATCAATCACTTCACAGAGGGTACGTCTCAAGACATGTACGCCACAGTGCTCGGACAGCGAATCCGCTGGCCCGGCTTATTGGGGTGACAGGCGGATAAACTTTGGCTTGTGCTAGTTGACAGGACTCGACCGCTGACATTGCGCCCAACAGTGCAAACCCAGGGACACAACATCCGCACCTATTCCGAATACCTGCTCCGCCGCGCCATCGAATATGGCTCTACCAAGGTCGACTACGTGCGTGGCGGTGAGGGCCGCCTCAAGCGCCTGACCATAGAGAAGGGCCTCCTGCGTGAAGCAGAGAGTGTGCAGGACCAGATCAGAGCGTTGCTCAAGTGCCAGGTATGAGGATGCCCCTTATCAGCAACATCCACACTCGCGCTGACTTTGACCCTAATAGCCATTCGATGACGAGCCCGAAAACGAAATCACGCTGACTGCCTTCCGACTGCTCACAATGGACTTGTTAGTGCTCTTCCACGTCATGAACGAGGGCACTATCAATATTCTCGGTGAGTTGAGTGTGCATACTCGAGTTTCGCCATACTAACGAACCAGAACACTACTTCGAACTATCAAAACCCGACGCAACACGCGCCCTTGCAGTCTACCGCACTTTCGTCAAGCAAACCGAAGCCGTTGTCCAGTACCTTAGCCTGGCAAGGTCGCATGAACACTCAACACGATTGGAGATTCCACGAATCAAGCACGCCCCGACCAGTCTGGCTGCATCATTGGAAGAGTACCTGGCCGATAAGGATTTTGAGATCAATCGACGACAGTACATTGCCGAGAAGGAGGCGAAAAAGAATGGGGGCAAGTCCACCAATGGGGCGAGCAAATCTACGGACTCAAAGTCGGCCTCTAGCAATACTACTAGCCAGCAGCCAGCAGCAGCTCCGACCAAACCCTCTGCAAACGCACCTTTGATTGATCTGTTTGAGTCGCTCGAGGACAACCAGCAAACCATGGCTACACAGCCGATGATGCAGCAGTATCCCAAACAAACAGGCTTCCAGGTTCCACAGCAGACAGAGAACATGGGCTTTCCCCAACAACCACAGCCTTTCCCAATGCAAAATGGCCAGGGTACGAATCCCTTCCAACTAGGCCAACAGCCACAAGCGCCCCAACTCCAGGCCCAGTTTACCGGCGCAGGCTTTGGTGGCTACTCGCCACAACCTTACGGCACACAGAACACCATGCCATCAATACCACAGAACGGCATGCCTGATTTCTCACAACAGCAGCAACCACAGCAGATGCAGATTCCTACCATTGCCGAGCCTTTGCAGCCTCTGCAGCCTCAGCAAACCTCAACAAATCCATTCCGCCAATCGATGCTACCCAGTAGTCCGACTGGTGCCAGCTCACTCAACCGTGCATCAACGAATCCGTTTGCAAAACACAACACTGGACTTTCAGCACAATCGCAGTCGCCGGTCAATTCTCCGCCCTTTTCCATGCCTTCAGTTCAAGAGTCACCATTTGCTCTGCAACAGCAGCCACAACAACCCCAGCCTCTACAGCCCACGCCTACTGGCACAAATCCATTCGCACGGCAACCATCGCCACAAAGCACCCTCTCCCCACAGGGTGGACTCACTGTGCACGCGACGGGTAGCACCAACCCTTTCCGACAAAGTGCCTTTGTCAATCAACAGACAGGCCAGGGCTGGCAGAATGCAGGCAGTCAAGGTACATTAGGAGGAATCAACCTTGACCAAGTACCAACAACAAGTGTTTTTCCTCGGCCCGGACAGCAGCAACAGCAAAACTTTCTGGGGTAGATTTTAGGTGACGAAGGAATGGTCCTACTGTTTTGTAATTGTGGTAGACTGTTGGCAGGGATTTGGGGCAGCTTGCGATTTCCTTTTGCGCGAAATTTCTTAATGCTGCGTGACATGATTTGTGAGCAATCACTCTGAAGTAGCCGTACTGGACTACATTCGTACAGGAGTAAGGATGGGTCACTATTCGTAGGGTAGCAGAAGATGCTCAAAATCGAAGGTTCTTGAGGCGGACTGGGCTTTTTTGTAACTCAGATGATCTAATCATCACTTCCTAGTTTATCTTCGAGCCAGGCATCTGCAAGGAGCCCCTCGCTAATGAAACACACATAATTGACATTTCTCTTTTGGTCCTATACCGAGATTGAGTGAATGCTTGACTGTACTCGTCTTACGATGCCTTAGGTTGAAGGGACCGAGGTGGAGTAATTGCAGGGATTGTATAAGCCACGTGACGACGTGACTTCCGTACAGATTAGCGCGACGGACGATGCCGGGTCAGACAAACATTACGACCTGACTATGCTCACAGTAACACGTTGAACTGGAGACTTTGATGGCTCCTCTCGAGTGGCCATGTCTCTTGCAATCTTTCGGCCTCACCGCTCCTCGCTTGTACTGATTTGAGCGTGGATTCTCCTTCATCCAGACCCGGCTCACCGCAATGGCACGCGGCGACTCTCTCGACGCGCCCATCACTTTTGAGGACAATGATGATGAAAATTCCAGATACATGCATGCGCCTGTACCTGTACCACCTGTAAGACGGTTCAATACGCAGACGCTGGAACAAGGTGATATTGAAGAGGTGGAGCATCAATCTGCCTGGGAACAAGCCGTCGCACAAAGAGCAAGGGTGAAACAAAAACAATCTGTCAACCAGCTGCTAAGGGGCCATCAACAAGTTGAACAAAGAAGCATTACGGAACCATCACTGAAACGGCCACCATCAGTCAAACCCATCACTATCATTGATCTGCTGACCGATGAAGACGAACCAATCCGCCCCAGAGTGACGCAGCAACTTACAGGCGCAGAGCTACTAAACCAATCAATTCTGGACGTGTGTCTATCGTCAGCTCAGCGTCCTGAACAGTACAAGGATACAGCCATCCCACAGCTGTCAACCTCACGCCCTCCACTGGAGATTGCGCAATCCAGTAGCTTCCTATCGCAGACATCTCCAGTCAGGTCTGTGCCAGCTATTCCCATTGGAGCAATACTGAATCACGATACTGGCTTCTCTATATCTATTGCAGACAGAGCACACTACCCATACCCGTTGCACAAGCCCGTGGCAACAAATGACACAGTACCTTCATTCTCGCAACCAATCGGGGATCTCGCCGACCATCAGCGCGAACGGGCCACTTGCCGTCGCGTAAACACCTCTGAGCGCGCAACCGCGGCAGCGCATGCCAACAAACTCGAATCGCCGTTTCCTATGGCTGCAAAAGCCCGTATGTCTGATTTCTCCGGTAGTGTCACTTTGGTTCAGCCGAAACAGAAAGCGATCAAGTCAGTGAGGCAAAAGAACTACGTCCAGATCAGAGCGCCGCAACATTCGACAGGCAGTCACAAATCAACAAACAATCACAAATCGACAGCTTATCATCACAAATCGCCATACGCATTGCAAGATGAAGTCCAAGTTCACAGAGAGTCGACCAATGCAGAACCTCGAGCCGTGAGCCCCGCGCCATTCCAAGGGCCCCTATCTCAGAATAGCACCATTTCGAATCTTGAAGTTAGTCTAACGGAAAGGCCAAAAGGCCACGATGCCACACCGGATCCACTGCCATTGAAGCCTCAAGAAAGAGCTGAGTCTGTTCCTCGCGATCACCCAAAAATCCAAGACTTCCATGGATACAATCCTGTAGCGCTTCCCCGGACATTCTGTGAGGCAGCATCCAACACGACAAACATAGCACCAGTCGAAGTGTCTTTCCGCAAAGCCACACCACCTGTGAAGGATGTGACTCCTAATGTCAATAGCATTTGGTCAAGTCACGTGCATGACCTCACTGCAACGCGGTCAGCAATAGATGAATGTCTAAAAAGACATATTGCTGAGCGGAACGAAGCGCATGCGAAGTTGACTTGGATTAAGCTGCGCCATCAGAGAACGTGTCAAGAACGAGACCTCCGCGCCCGCCGCAAACAGAAGTTTCTCACCCAGCAGACTTTGCCGGAGGAATTCATTCAACACACTTCTCCCTTTGCAGATATACCTGTCGTACAAATGCCGTTTGATCGCAGCTGTGCTTCTAAAGGTCTCCCTGATATGGCACAAGAGGTTTTTGTCAAAGCCAAGCCAAAAGATACAGTGTTTCGGTCAGGACTATCGGCACATACAACAAAGTTCCGGTCGGAAGTTGTCGTTATACCTCCTTTCAAGGAATATGTTAGCTTGAGAAACAATATTCTAGCTGACAACGAGTCAAAGTTGCTTGCAACACCATACTTTGAAGACGAAGACTACGAGAGCCGGCGGGCTCTTTTGGATGCGCTTCCGTTTATATACGAATTGACACACGACGAGAAGGGACCGATCGATCTCCGGAAAGAGCAGTGTAGGTTCTACAAAACCGCAATTGAAGCTTTCCTGAGCGAGATTGGCGTGACTTGGAACGAAGTGCTATACTGGTTGCTAGCACCCGATGATGTTATCAAGCAGATCAATGCTGGCATATCTGGAAGCGAGAATTTCTCATCAGTATTGCTTGAAAGATCGCAGTATAGCGTTGAGGAATTTGAGCGAGACGAGGAGGTCAAGGAGACAACCTTATTCGACCGTGACGATGAGAAATGGCAGGACTTTATCGCACAACTCGAAAGACCCTCTGCAACGACGCTGAGGCTAGCGGCTACAGCTTGCTCTGCTGTGCTACAGGAATGCGAATTCAGCATTTGGTATCTGGCACAACAGTCTGATATTGTCCAAAACAACATTATGAGGAAAACTTTAAGCGGAAAAAATCCTGTCCAATCTTCATATAGACAGATTTGGTGCAGGGTGTGTCACCAGTAAGTGCAAATCTATGCTATGCTGTATTGATATATTGACGACATTCCCAGGCACAATTGCCTCCTCCATGGCGAGTTAAGGCAAGTCCCCGAAGACTCGTGGATGACTGAGTCAGACGAGGACGAAGATGAGTTTCAAAGTAGCCGCCGTGGCTCAGGAAGCACGCTCGACGAAGACTCGGGTCCTTTGCCTGCGCATTTCGACGACGATTCAGAGATTGAGAAGGTGATCAATTACAAACTACCAGCAAATCCCGACGCATTCAACGCCTATCCCGAATCAGAAATGATTGCGTCTAGAGGCGCGAAACCACCACCAGGAAAATTCAATGCACACTGGTGGTTGCAACGGGACCTTGTGCAGCACTGGGAGAAGCGTAAACCGTTTTTCCCATGCAATCACGAAGGTAGCTGCGAGGATGCAAAATGCCGGTGCTACAGGGAGGGTATCACCTGCGAGAAGACTTGCAAGTGCTCCCAATCATGCAATCGGCGGTTCCCTGGTTGCGGCTGTCTGGTCATTCCAGGAAAGCGGGTTTGTGATTCAGACAAATGTCTCTGTGTCAAATTCAACAGAGAGTGTGACGCAGAACTCTGCGGGTCATGTGGCGCGACTGAGATCCTCGATCCTGTCAATCGATACAACGAAGATGTGGTAGCCCGCAACTGTTTCAACGTGGCAATCCAGCGGGGCGTTCCTCGAAAGACGTTGCTTGGACACTCAGAAGTACATGGATTCGGGCTGTACATGGGTGAAGATATCGAGAAAGGAGAGTATATTGGCGAGTACACTGGCGAAGCCATCTCAGTCAATGAAGGCAATCGCAGACTCACCATCTACGACTATCAGAAGACGATGTATCTATTTCGTCTGAACTCGAGTAAGTTTTCCCATTGCGTCTTGTTGATATAGTCCTAATACAGTGCCTAGAACAAGAAGTGGACGCCACATATATGGGCAACAAGCTCCGCTTTATCAACAATGCTGACGATAAATACACCAACTGTGCGCCGAGGAATCTCCTCTGCAACACCGTCTTTCGCATAGCACTCTTTGCCACGACCAACATCAAGGCGGGTACAGAATTGTACTTCAATTATAATTATCCGAAAGAGAAGACAGCACAGTTCAAGCAACCAAACGGCAAGGTTGTTGCGGTCAAAGAGACCAAGCAAAAGGTGAAGAGAGTGGATGCAGGCAGCAAAACAAGCCAGCCAGTTGTGGAGCGCGACCGATCACGTATACTGGCAGCTACTGCAAAGGCTAGAGCCGCAAAAGCGGCTAAGAGGGCGGCGATGCTAGAGGAAGAAGCCAGATTGGCGCTTGCAAAGTCTTTACCAGGGCCATTGCGAGCACGCAAAACTGCCACTGGCACGCCTGGTGTGAAGAGAGCGTCGAAGCTACGAGACAGTCTCTGTAGAAACGAGTCTACCGGATCTGACACTGGTTTCGACGTTGAAGCGAGTGATGGCGAAATGTCCGTAGCCGGTACATCACAAGAGACGACCACAAGCCAGTATGTGGAGGACACGGACGATGATGAAGAATTCATCACTGGTGATAGCCAGGAAAACGAAGGTGAAGAAGTGCGCAGGTCTGCACGGCATGGCAGTACTGTGGGGCGCCGGAGACCAGGCAGACCGCGGAAGAGGGGGTCTGATGTTGCGCCGGTGATGGCCACTGAGAAGAGGAGTGGGAACTTGGGCGGAGCACGACCAGGTGCTGGTAGAAAGAGGAAGAGACCCGTCATTCTTAATAGTGATGACGAATGAAATGCCTTGACTAGTATAATGAGGAGCTGAAAAACAGAGGGGCAAAAGGAAACACGATTCAACACAGGCTTTTATAGATTTGGTGAATATATTATATATGATACCCGGCTTCCTCCAATCTGTCGATTTGCTTAGCCAGAAGATGTAAATCATGCGGTTGGCGCATGTAGTGTATGGGGCCGTCTTCCTCTGCTCTTGACATGGACATATACGGATCTCACACATATGTCCTGGCTTCTGGCAAACATCCACGCACGTACCTTTTTATCAGGTCCCCCTTTCACAACAGCAAGTCGCGCAGCCATTGCTAGCGCTATCGTCCTTCCCGCTGAAGCGCATCTTCGCGCCCTATATCCTCTAGCAATCCCCCAAACCCCAAGCCAAATTGCCCTTATGTATCACTTCGCTATTCTTTTCTCAGCTCCACCCTTTCAAGGCGCCGCAGTAACAAAAGCAACCAAAGCCTTGACCGCGTCCCCCTCATTCGCCCGTAGCAACTCCGTCGCTTTCGCTTTTGTAATTTCCAACTCGGATACCTATTTCGAGGATTCTTGTCAGCCCCAACCATTCACAATGCTAGTGTGTTGGTCTTCCTTCTTTTCCATCCCTCCAATCCCATACGTATGTGTATATAAGGAAAATCCAACGTACCAAAACCGCCACATCGCTCGCCTCAATCTTAACATTCTTCTTCTTTTCTTCCTCCGCCTTATCTTTTACGCTCAGCCCTTTCATCGCTTTGTCGAGGGCTTTGCCGTCGACTTCTTTCTTCGTGCCATTGGGAGGGGTAGAAGCGGCGTCGTCGAGGGCAGGGGTCGAGGCGCCTTCGTGGATGGTGGGGGGTTGGGGTTCGGCCATTGCGATTGGAGTGCGGTGGTGGGCGTAAGGATGTGTTGAAGGTGTAGAAGTTAATTGGGAGTGCGAGCTGTCTGGAAGCTCATTGGGGACGGTGGGCGGATGAGTGACGAGGGTGTGGGGTAAATTGCTGGTGAATTATCTGATAGCGGACCAATTGGAAAATTCGAGGATGCTGATTGGATGGGATGAGGGGGTTTTTATTGCGCACATGCGATATGGACTGGATTTGCAACTTTACAACGTTTGAGTTACATTGACCTTGTCGCTTTGCATTGTCACTGGGCTTCTAGGACACGTTTCGCTTTCGGAATACAAGGTGAGTTTATTGCGCACTGTTATGGCATTTTGCTGGTTTGTGTTTCTGTGGCAGATTTTTGGTTTTCTTGAGTCATGCGCGACTTTGCACGCCTTTGTTCGGGTGTCCCGCGGTCTGGGTAGGGATGGACACCCCTGCCGAGCTTTACTTTATATTAACGCTGTAATCAAAGTGACTCAAAACATTAAACGTGGTTTGAGCTGACTTTCCTCCAGTCACTGCACGTGGAAGCTAGCTGTAAGGTACAACGTACGTTGCGAGTGACAAGTGGGATCTGCAAAGTTTACTCACTCCACAGCCAGATCTACGACATCACAGTTGACAGTAGACGCCAACTCAGCTGAGAGTCATGGAAGTTTCAAACCAAGGGTCAACAACTAATGCCGGGTCTGAAGGATGGTCGCCAGATTGTGAGAGCAAATACTACCCTTCAAGTACATATGCTAACGAGATGTAGCGTGGAGATCAAAGCCTATCAAGCAGGTCGTCACGTATGAGGATCAGGCGGCGGTGACTTCTGCTTTGACAAAGCTATCAAGTCTACCACCCATTGTCACACCAACAGAGATTGCCAGACTCAAGGCCAGTCTGCGTGATGCCGCCCTCGGCAAATCTTTCTTACTCCAAGGAGGTGACTGCGCCGAGTTGTTCTCTTACTGCGCCGACAACCCCATCGATGCCAAGATCAAACTTCTTTTGCAGATGAGTTTGGTCTTGATTTGGGGTTCAAACAAACCCGTCATTCGCATTGGCCGTATCGCAGGACAGTATGCGAAACCCAGGTCAAGCCCTACCGAGATGCTGGATGGCAAGGAGATCCCCAGTTTCCGAGGCGACATTCTCAACGGCTATGATCCAGAGGCTAGGAGAGTGGACCCAGATAGGCTGGTCAGCGCCTACTTCCATTCTGCGACGACACTGAACTACATCCGTGCACAGCTTGCAAGCGGCATCGCTGACTTGCACAACCCGTTGGACTGGGAACTTGGCCATGTCAGGGACGAGGCACTACAGTCAAAGTACTCACAGATTGTAAACAGCATATCCGACTCTCTTCGCTTCATGAAGACTATTGGTGCGGATACTTCTGGCCAGCTGCAAACAGTAGACCTCTTCACCAGCCACGAAGGTCTTGTACTAGAGTACGAACAGAGCCTGACAAGACGGCTCAAACATCCAGCTGGCTACACACCCTTTCAGCCCTCAAATGATGGCAAGGGATGGTACAACACTTCTGCGCACTTCATCTGGATTGGAGACCGAACACGCCAGATTGACGGTGGCCACGTAGAATACTTCAGAGGTATTGAAAACCCCATTGGTATCAAGGTCGGACCGTCCATGAAGAACGATGAGCTAGTAGAGCTGCTCAATATCGTCAACCCCAATAAAGAGATTGGCAAGATTACTCTAATTACCCGCTACGGTGCAGACAAGGTTGAGTCGATGCTGGGTTCGCATATTGAGGCTGTGAAGGGCAGTGGACATGTTGTTGTCTGGCAGTGCGACCCAATGCACGGGTAAGTTGTGTTTATGCATCGTATATTCTATATTAGCTAATCTCCCTGCAGCAACACTCGCAGTACCCCCACTGGCATCAAGACCCGCTCCTTCAACAGCATCTTCTCTGAGCTGTCGTCCGCGCTCAAGATCCATAAGCAGCACGGCTCCTTCCTAGGTGGCATGCATCTTGAGCTTACTGGTGATGCGGTTACGGAGTGTACGGGAGGAAGTGAGGGTCTTGTAGACGAGGATCTGAGCTTGAACTACACGACCTACTGTGATCCTCGGTTGAATGAGAAGCAGGCTCTGGAATTGGCGTTCCTAGTTGCAGGACATTACCGTGCGGATGGCCAACTACCATAGATCCGAGTCCTCTTTCGCTGGGTAGAATAGCATCATATAAAAAGTTCCTATGTCAACAAATTCATTTCCAGATATATCTTACTTTCATAATATCGTTGATCGCACTTATGCAAACAGTTATCCAATCGGTGAACTCCCCTTTGATTCGACCACCCCAGACTTGGCACATGGAATCTCTCATACATCATCGTCATGACGGCCTGGCCCGAGCTTCGACAAAGTTGCCCCCAACAAATGCATGCCTGTTATCGCGCCCGCTTCGTCGTTATCACCGCCCATACCTCTCTCACTCACTCCTATCAAATAGCCGCAAGCATCCCCACACGCAATTTACCCCTCATTCCCAACAAAAAACAACCCACAGGGCCCCAAAGATAAACACAATGGGCGCTTCAGCATCTAAAGGCGCAAAAGCCGCTGCCGGCTCCGCAGCTCGTAAATACCCCTCAAGACCACCGACAAGTACTACGACTGCAGCGTCTGCGGCTCCCGTACAGAATGCTGCGGCCGGACCCCGTGTACATCCTGCGCCGCAGGCTACAAGTGAAAAGACAGAAGGTACGGTAATTTCTCCATTGATATACAGAAGCAATTACTGGTCCTTACCTCCATGGAAAGCCACATAGCTAACTCTCTCGCTCCCCATTCAACAGCTGTTCTACAAGATGCCCGCGATCCAGCCTTCGCCTCCCGCCTGAATAGCCTCGGCGCCGTACAACCGAATCCGCACTTTTCACTGTCGTCGACGTCGCAATTCGATCCTCGCCGCAATGCCTCGCCTAGTCTTCCGTCGGACACAATGATGCAAGACGCGCCGCAGTCGGCGTTTCCTGATGCAAGGAATAATCCTGTGCTACGTGTTCTCGAGTCACGGCAGCATATTACTGAGGTGGCGGAGGAGGAGCTGAGAGAGGTGGGGAGGAGGGGATTCCAAGGAAGACGGTATGTGGATGCTGGCGTGATTACGTTGGCGTTGATGAGGAGGGAGAAGGGGGAGCCGGACGAGAGAATTGAACAAAGTTTGGGGATTAAGAAGGGTAGGTTGGGGGTGTTGGCTGAGGGGACGGTTGGTGCAGTGGCGTTGGGGTAGAGTTGTGCACTAGAGAAGAGATGGATGAGACGTTTCCAAGCGGGGGATATGTGTGGGAGTAAAGATTCAATTTGGACGGCAGCACCGAGGCTGACAGCGATCGTGGTTCCGTGACCTACGAAAGAGAAGGGTGTACATATGTGTACATATGAATGGAGAACAACAAAGGAAAAGAAAAACGCAGCCCATCTGAACACCGGATTGAACCCTTCCATCCGACGCTATGCGCTGCCCAAGTCGTTACCCGAAAGTCAAACCAACACCGGACAAAATGCAGGAAACAAAAGAAATCAGATAAGAAAAGTACAACAAGAGAAGAATAACAAAAGAAGGGTGGTGTTCATGATTCGTCGTAGTCCGCGTTTTCGTGGATGAAGTTGTTGAGTGCAACCAGTGCCTCTTTCAAGCATTCCTGATCGACCTCGAGGCCGTCTCGGCACATTTCATCGTAGCCTATCCTGACGACACCACTGGGGTTTGGTCGTGATCGCTTCTGGTTCCATCGTCGGGCGACTTCCCATCGCTTACGGGTCTGGGTGAAGGGCGGGCACGAATCGGCAATTTCTCGGCGTTCGCGCAGCACGGTCAGGGCATTGAGGACGTTCAGGAAGATACTACATAGGCAGAGAGTCAGTAAGGGTCGACGATGGTAGATCAAAGCAAGGGGTGTAACGTACCCTTGGGTCAGCTCGACGTCATGATCCCATCCATACGCCACTTCGCTGAAGCTGTTTCCCTGCGCGACAATGTCTAGGAAGACAAAGAGCGACTCCTCGACGCTGATTTCGGGTGTGATTTGCGACGCGACATTGGTGAGGATCCAGTCTGATAGTTCGAAAAAGGTCTTTTGGTCCATGTGGGCAAAGCTGATGAAGCGTTCGGGGACGGTGAACATGAGCGACATGGCACGTCGTGCACCCATGGCTTCTATGCCGTCCATTGCTGAAAGAGATGGGTCGAGTGGTGTGGGTGAAGACGCGAGCAGTATGGGTTGTAATGTGTGGTAGTGTGAAGTGGGATGTGGTGTTTGGAGAGCGGAGTCGAGGATGTCAGGTGAGCGGGTGAGGGGGTGGGTGGAAGATGATGGGATAGCCCAGCTGAGAGCGGGTAGCGGCAATGAATATCAGTTGGATCCCACCACAGCACAGCACAGCAGTCGGACAAGGCAAGTGCCGTCGGTCGCTCAGGCCGAGACAAAGTAAGGACAAGGTGGAATTATTTTTTCCGTGCCGGGAGATAGGAACAATAGCGAGGGATGACGACGGTGGTTTTTGGCCTGCTCCTTTTACTTGGTCGATGGGGCAAGTGGGTTGGAGTTTGAGCGGAACTTGACGACTTGTTCCCTGGTTACGCAAGCTTCTAGGGCAAGTGAAGCGCACCGTGGGACTTTGCATATGCGTGCGTGGGGCCGTTGTCCGTGTTGCGTGCGTGCCAATGCAAAAGCTGCAACACTCCCTTCTTTCATGTGAAAGTCGGGCACGGGCCAGGCGTGAATGACATCAGCATCCAATCACAAGACCAATGGGACGAGACCAAGACGAGGCGTCGCGCCAGCTCTGGCGGCGCTCCGGTGCTCGCGTAGCCACTGTTTGCGCTTATTTGAATGCCGCACCCCGACTGTGGCTCCCGGCGCGCCCGTTTCCCCGCTCTGTCTGTCCCATGTTTGCATCTCAAGTCGGACATGATGGTGGTGTGGTGTGTGCGTGAGGGGAGAGAGTGCGGTTGGTTGGACGGTAAATTAAGGCGTCCTTGAGCGCGAGCTTGGCCGAGAAGGCTACTGACGCTCGGTCTAGACCGCATCGGGCGGATTTACGGGCCCAGAGGCTAAATTCAGCAGGTGGGTTCTTGCGCCCTCGGTCTGCCGCTCACGCTTGGCGCCGTCGCGAGTGTCTGCGACTAATTGTTTGACTACATGGAGACGGCTTCGTCGGGCCTAATACACAAGGTCAGAGCCAAGCACAGTTAAGATACTCCGACGCGCTGGCTAACTGGCGAGGGGCTTGCGACGGCACACTGCGGCCATTTGTCAAGGAATTTATCTAGAGCCCTGCCCGCCCACGTGCTCAGGGAAGGAACCATCCACGGGCTCTTTCCCTCCTCCTCTACACCACAAGTAGTATGTCGGTACGGGGAGAGACAAGTCACGTTACACCATTATTCAGCAGTCATCCCATCCTCCAGCATGCACTCACCAACTCTCCCTCCCGCTGACTAAGGCTGGATGCCTTGCGCCCTCACCACCACCACTTATCAACAAAATACCACGGACGATCAACATGCTGTTTTGCTTTTGCCCTTCCCATGATATTTCCTTTGCACATCGACCACCCATCGCTCCCGCGCAAAAGCACAATCTCCGCACCCGCACCGAACGTGCACACTCCACTCTAAACCTAAATGCTAGGCTACATCTCCTCAACACGTAAAAAGAGTTGCACGGCTTGCGTAAAGGCCAAGCGGCGCTGCGACCTGGGCTACCCCTTTTGCAAACGCTGTTTTGTCAAGGGCCTCGACTGCGCATATCCCAATCCACGTAAAACGCCTGTTTCGGTCCGCGACACTGAGATTGTTATCAGACACACTGACGCGCCACCACCACGCGACTTCAGCCAGCCTGCAAATATCGCATCCGCGACCGCTGCAGCTAACGCGGCCACAAGCGTGGAGCCGGACTGCGACTTTGGTAGCCCCCGTGTCAACCACACTCAGGAACTTGGCCATGCAGCTCGCGATCCGTGGATAGTATTGAGGCGCGATGGCGAGTCGAGCGAATCCGACGAGGGCTCGTCGTCGTCATCGGCGAGTCCAGAGGTGTGGATGGGACATGACAATTCGCTGACGCCGCGCCCGCCGCTACGCAGGACCTTGCTACCAACCGTAGTCGTACCTGTGCTGCTCAACGAGCGGCAGAGTACCTTCGTCATCGAAGGGCTGTGCTCGTTGGTTACAAGCATGGCGTGTTCGGGTACAACGCATTTCTTGCATCGCAATCTGTTTGCCGATCACGATCAGCCCATGGCATATCAGGATTGCGTTGCGATATCTGCCCTCTACATGGCCCAGAACGCGAGCTACACTGGTAATATCCTAGTTAATAGTATCAATGCCAAGATCGCTGCCTTGGTGAAAGAGGCGCCAACTTGGTCGTTGATGCAGCATCTAGCGGCGGTGCAGGCGCTCATCATTTATCAGATTGTCCGTCTTTTTGACCCGATTTTGGGGGCGCAGGAACAGGCTGTCAAGCATAATGTGCTGCTTGAACGATGGGCTACCAGTCTTTTTCATCGCTCTTGTTATGACACTCCGTTCTTTGCGGATGAGCGCTCACGCTGGGTGTTCACTGAGTCGCTACGACGCACCTTGTTCATGGCTGTGTTTACGCGATGCTCATGGAGTGTTTTCACATGTGGCGGGCTTGCGAGTCAAGTCCATGTTTTGGCTGGTATGCCGCTGACAAGGGATCTGGGGAGATGGAGTCAAGAAGAAGATAAAGCGCTGTGTCAGGGTGAGAGCATGCAGAGTCATGAGCAAGAGTTGATTTCTTATGTCGACATGTCGGTGGATTGGTCACATGACAAGTCTGTCGATGAGCTGGGGTCTTTTGGGCAGTTGCTTCTCGTGCCCTGTCGCGGTCGTGACGACCTGAGGTTGTTGGGGTGAAGTTTGGCCCGTTGCTGGCTTCTTCACGTCTCAAATCTTCTCCTTGGACACCAGACTCCAAAAGTCGACGACAAACTCTCCGCCTTCCTCCAGTAGAAGTAGAAAGGCTGGATGCTTTCCGAAAACCGTCACTTCGCGTACAATGTACTCGAGCACTAGCTGTCTCAATTCGTCCTTTGTGCCGTCGACTTTTCTGTCTTCACCCTGATTGTATGCATATCTTGCAAGCTCAACAATGTCCCATACGCGTCGCGAGTAGAGCTGGAAGCCGAGTAGTGTTCGGTGGAGCTTGTGTAGTGTCAAGCGTCTGAGCGGATCGACTCCACGCATACAAGCAAATGTGTATAGCCGTGCGTGTCCTAGGAACACTGGTGTGAAATCCTGATTGGGTGCGATGTTGTGCTTGGGCTCGAAGGTCACGAGCATGACTGTCCTGGGATCCTCTGCGGCGAGGTAACTGCGTGTGTCAAAATGAGCGCGTACAGCATCCCCGCCTTCAAATGTGGGCTTTTTCTTTTTTTCTGGTAAAGATTGATCAAATAGGGTTTTCGAAGACGGTTGGCCAAACCCGGCTTGTGGGGCAGGCTGGCCAAAGAGGGGCGTTGGAGAAGGCAGGCCGATTCTGGCTTGTCGAGCAGGCTGGCCAGAGAGGGGTATTGAAGAATGCTGGCCAAACCAGCTGCGTGGAGGAGACTGGTCAAAAAGGTATGCTGCCCTCTGTTTCGGTTCTCCGATTACTGTGGGTTTTCGAACAGGCAACGCCTTGTCTTTCTCATCCGTTTTTTCATGCACCCATGTAGGGACACAATAGTCTTTGCGATATGCATACTCGATAAAGCGGGCAAAGTCTTCAGGTTCAACATCAGGATACTCGACTGTCTTCGTGCACGACTCCACCATGCCGTTATTCACAAGCGCCCGAAAATACGAAGATGTTGCAGCGACGACTTTGGAATGCACTGAGAAACTTCTTCTGCGGCTGTCTTTGCCGATGTTGAATATGAAGACCTCGGATTGTATCATGCTGCCAGGAATCTGATGTCAGGAAGATAAGTCGCATTAGGTTGTTGCGTTAAGATACGTACTCCTCAAACGAACACAACGTGGAATTTTCGCTCATCTTCGCTGCCATCACAATTGTTGAAGTGGTTGACGCCGTTTGTAGGTGCGAGGAACCTCGTTACTTACATGCTCAAGATATAAGCACTCAAGGCGGGGTTGTACAGCACAGCCTGATGTGAACAGCGCGCGCGTGGTGTAACACGGCATGATCTTCCTTTCTGTGGCGTCCAGTCATGTTCGCTGAATGTATGGTTATCTGCAATGCGCCGCATCCAAGCATGCCACTTGATACAGGAGAACGGAGAGCCATACGATAATTGCGATTTGTTCGAGAGATACTATAGGCAAATGCAACTGTTTCCCTGCCTAACACCAACCACGTGATATAGCCTGGTCGTGTAACTAGAAATCTCAAAGTCATGTATATTAGTTAAAGAGTTCGTTGGTGTATGAGCAGATGTCTGTGGAACCCAAGAGTAACAGGAAAACACTCTGCTAGGACCGTCTGGTCTGCACTCAGGCTAGACAATATAGCACTGAGATAATAAGGGACAGCAAGAGGGCAGAGGATCCATGCTCTGTCATAGTCAGCACACGTCTTGCTTGGCCGTTTCAAGAAAATACTGTTAAACTTGTATCTCTGAAATTCACAATGGAGGCCAGGATAGCAATCGCGGCAATAGAACAACATGTAACCCAACTTTACCATTCGGCTCCGCAAACAGTTGTGTGGTTACCTGTGTAGTGTAGGCCGATATCTGGCAAGAAATCCAGCTAACATCCTGCCTGTACCGGTTGTCTTTCTTGAATGCGATTCAAAAGTTTGCAAAGAACAAGGACTTGAGCTATAGAGTGATGAGACTTATCGGGGACAGAAGAAATCAACTGGGTTATCATACACCCGTTCCATCCCCCCTGCCAAAGTGCTGCTCCCCACTCTCAAGTTGCAGCTATCGCATGAATGCACTGTGATCTTCTACTCTAGCAGCCACCGCGGTTCAATACGCAATACACTCACTCGGTGCTATAAAGTCTACCTATCGAAAAGTCTACATATCGAGAAGTCTACGATACATCCATGTTATGTTCGAACAAGATTCTTTCCGCGCTTGTTTGGTTTACTCTAATCTGGCGTGGGAGTTTTTCAGAATATCACACTTGATGTTTGAAGATTAAATATAGAAGTGGACGAAAGAGCTGTAAAGTATCGATTAGGCCGTGAAGAGTTGTGCTGAGAGTGCTGTTGCTCAAAATACATTGAATCTGGATTTCAACCAAGAACCTACGACAGATACTCGCTACAAAATACAGGTCTAACGTCGAGCATATAATTCTTTCTACCGTACATCTGGCTAGGGAGATGGTCCAGCTAGCGTTGATCTCATTGATCTGGTGTCTAGGCTCGGTCTGTCCTAACTCGTACTAGCGCGTGCTTACATAGACACCTTCTCTGAGCATTTCTGAGCAGGCTTCAGTGGTCTGTATCCTGGCCGAAAAAACAGGGTTCGTCTACTGCGTCATCTGCATTCTGACAAGAAAAGTGCACAGGATATACTGCAAGGGGTTCCATGTTCGTCGAGCCACCCGCCAGCAAATCGTGGGCTGCAGTCATGATGATGTGCGACCACATACGTCACCGTTCCAATGAAATGGTAGAGGCTCTAGTCCGTCTACTATATGCCGTTTGAAACCTACACAAGGCAAAGCAAGATACACTAACGGCCGTTGCCACCTCTATCTGCATCCTGTTTTCTTGCTGGCTCGCTGGCCAGCTCATACAAATTGTTCAAGACGGCGCCCAAAGTCCCTTCTCGTCGCGCGCTCGCTGGAATCGCGCTTGTTTCTGTGTTATCGGCGGTGGAAAAGCAGCGAAAAAAGAAAAGAGAAAGTGCAAACGGACACGATTTTACGACTGCCGAAGATATGTCGGGTGAACTTCAGACTATACCTGCGCGCCATGGGGCTGCGACTTTTGTGCCCCGAGGCAGGACGATCAAGGTTATTAATACGTATGGGAAGCAGGTAGTCAGTATGTGGGCTTTTACTCTGGGTCCGCCGCCTGAGGAAGGAGAGGGAGAGGATTTGAATGAGGAGGAAATTAAGAAAGAGGCAGAGGAGGTAAAGAAGGTGGTTGAAGAGGGCGAAAAGCAGGAGGTAGAGACGGCAAAGGAAGATAAGGAGGTCAAGAAGGAGAGTGAAGAGGGTGAAAGTAAGGAGAATAAAGAGGACAAAGACGGCGAGAAGGAAACACAGTCGAAGGACGGCGAAAAGGAGACACGTTCGAGTGAGGATACTGCCAACGAAACAAGTCAAGAATCTCAAACTCCTTCCGAAAAAGCGACAGATACCCCCGAGAATGAGAAGATGACGAAATCAACCGAGTCACCATCCAAGCAACCTGCTAAACGCACTTGGGCGTCTTACCTCCCCTCGATTCCCTACCGCAACAAAGGTGCAGCGAACAAGCAAGAGGTGGAACAAAAGCCCAGTGCCGAGCAAGTGAAGAAACAGAACGAGGAGAATACTAAGAAATGGTCTTCATATCTAACCACAGGCAAGAGTTTCTCAAGCTACGTGCCCAATGTCGAAGTCCTAGACTCCAAGTCTGTCATAAGCGCATTCAAGTCAAGTCACTACCGAGACCCAAACAAGAGCTATGCGGAACAACTGTACGACTTTTCCAAGACACCTGTGGGCGCAGGAACAATGGCTGGTATGTTATCAGGGCCGAACAATACCACGAAAACACACTAACTCTCTATAGCTGCCACCGGCTCCGGTTACGCATCCTCCGTGTACGCCGCCTATTCAGCCTACGCCTCGATGCACCCCTCCAACTCCTCCCAACCCCCCATGGAATACCTCTCCCTCCCCCACACGCGCACCGCCTCGCACAAACTCGTCCCAGAAGTCAATGACGAGCTCCTGACCAACCTCCGCAACCCCATCCTAACCCTCATCGAAGACACCTCCCCTGGCGCCCACGACACCCTCACCGCCGCCTGCGACGCCAACCAGTACGCCGCGCTCGGCATCGACAAGCCCGCCGAACACGGCAGCTGCGCTGAGAACCTCGTTCTCGCCCTCAAAGAAATAAACGAGACGTCTGGCCTCAAAGGCGCAAAAGCGGTTGGCGCGGATATCACGGTTAACATTGCGCCGACGCCGCTTCACCTCTTTATGAATGCGCCGCTGCATGCTGAGGGTGATATTCATGATGATGGCGCGGGCGCAAAGGGTGTCACACTTAGTGTTGAGGAGCCGCATGGCAAGAAGAGGTGTTATGTTAGATTCCGGGCTGAGCGGGATGTTGTGGTGGTGTTTAGTGCTTGTCCGATGGATGTGGGCAAGCAGAATGGAGGGAGGTGCATGGCGAGTAATTTTATGGTGGAGGAGGTTAGGGCAGGGGAGGATAAAGCGGGATCTGGGGTGGAGGGGAAGAAGGAGGAAGGGAAAGGGGATGTAGGGAAGGAAGAGGAGAAGGAGAAGCCGAGTAAGGAGCCGAAGCCTAAGAAGAAGCCGAAGAAACTTGAGGTGAGGAGTCAGTCTACTGCTCCTGTGTCGTCGTAAAGTTGGTTGTAATGATATAGTCTAATACTTCTTGTGGCTTTGTTTCTTACGTTCGAGTTTTGTTTGAGAGGAGGTTTGTTGTAATGCACGACTAGATTTCTTTCAATCGTTCAAAAGACTTTATTCAATCATTTCATTCCAATATCCGATTCGATATATCATTGTCAATCACCAAAAAAATCAAAAACAAGAAGTGCGGTAAAAGAACACGCTATCTATCACTTTCAAAAGGGGAGTGTCGTCACTTGATATTCATATCATACGAAAAGACTCTCATACAATCACGTCTATAAGAAAAGGAAATCCATTACTCCAGCATGTAGCCGACTACCTCCCAACTACCTACTCCTAACACCTCAAGACCTTCCCATTCCCTCCATCCTATCAACAGCAAAATACACTTTTGTCTCCCTCCTCACCCACTCATTCATTTCTTAACCTCTCAAATCATAAATCACAAAATTTCAAAGTCATCTCTGACTATCCGAATTCAAGTCCGATCCCAACCCCCCATTCCAAACATAACTCTCACTTGCCGTAGTATTTCTCGTCCCCTGAATAGCCTGCTGCGCATCCTGACTCGCGCGGGAACGCAGGTAGTTTGTGTATTCTGCGACGCGCTGATTTCGGACTTGCCACTCGAGCATGATGTCGAGGTCGGTGGGGTATGTGGGATCGTGCTGCGTGTGGATGGCTGCGGAGTGCTCTTGGTAGTATGTATCGGCGTGGTGGATTTGGGGATGGTAGACGGGGGTGTGGTGAGCGGAGGGTTGGTCCTGTGGTATCTGCTGTTCAGTGCGCAAGTCCGTATCGTGAGATGCCCGCTCGACGCGGTTTTGTTGTGGGAACTGATTCGTGTCGACGTCCATCTCAGTCTTCGCCTCCAAACACTCCCTTGCAGCTGGTCCTTCTGACCCTTCCTTCCCGGTCTTAACCATCGCCATCATACGCTCATTCTCTTCCTTCTCGGCATCCAGCAAAGAACGATATCTCCCCTCCAAATACACCGCTACCACCGCCGGCGCCCAATCTCTCACAAACCACATTCCTTCAACCCCAGCATACACATCTTCTCCGTACAACCCTGCTAACTGGCATCTCGCATCTTGTATATCTAATTCGTCCGCTTCAACTTGTCTCACAATCTCCTCCCGGATAGCCCTAATGCGAGCTTCCCGAACTGCATCGTCGAGCGCCTTGGCACACGCCGCGTCGTTGAAGAAGGACCAGTACGCTGTTAGACTCTCATGTAAGGAAGATAAAGTGGGACCACCCGGGCAAGCGAGGTCAGAGGGTGTGTTGAAGCCGCTTTGGAGGCGTATGGTGAGGAGGTGGTGCAGTTCTTGCATTAAAGAGAGAGTGGCGTAGTACAGGTCTTCGAACTCGGCCAA